AAAATATAGATGTAATAACGTCGATATCGTGAAAACTGAAGGTTAGAAACCGCGAGTAAGTACTTTCACGAGGAAATAGAATTTTGACAATTTTGACAATCGGGCCACGAGGTGCCCCCAAATCCCTTCTATTTGACAGCGAGGTACCCACATAATTTTATATCTTATATATTTTTGAGATCGAAATTACATTTGCTTTTCTCGTTTGCAACATTTGGCAATGACATGGCCAAAATATCCTCATATTAGTGTATCGAGGTGACTAAAATAATATATGAGTTTTTGTATTCATATTTACTCCTCTGCGAGGTGCCTGTATACATTATTGTCTTATGTAGTGTGTCGATTACAATTTTTTTTAAAATTTTAAACCATATTAAATGTCATTTTTGTCATAGGTTAAAAATGTACTAAAAAGTGTTCACCTCTGAATTTGTTTATACCGAAGCTATTCTTCGGGAGGTACTATATACAAATAAATTATTTGAAAGAACGTCAATCTTGAAATGAAATGAATAAATAGAAACACTTATTTTCAACTCAGTATTTCTGATCTTTGATTTCATTAATACGCAATTGTTGATAAAGTCATTATCTTGAATCGTCTTTGATACTGTGAATGAACAAAATTATGATTTCCTTTAAGAGACAACGAAACGTCATAAACGTCGCCACTATAGTATACATTCATCATTATCTGTATACATGTAATTGACCACTAGACAAGTGTTCTTAAATACAGTCACTGACCACACTCATTCTTTTACACAAGTTGTGTTGTATAGTGACCACTTCATTAAGTTTCTACCTCACAATCGGATTGACCACAAGAAATATAACTTGAGGAGTTATTCATTTTATAGAATGTGAACATGTTTCATTGATGTATTTGTTTTGTAAAGCGCTTTGATCAGTTGTAAATTGGATATAGCGCTATAAAAGAAACAATTTATTAATATTATTATTATTTCCTTGTCTGTCCATTGACAATCTTTTACGCCCTTTTATGCTACTCCAATATATTCTTACATGGAAAGATAAAGTTTCAACGTTTTCAGTTGACTTCTTGTGGGTCAGAACCAGGAGCACATATTTATATTTGTATACTGAATTCAAGAATGTCAGTTTTTAAGTTTTGTCGGGGAACGCCCCTCCCCCTTCCCCTCCCCCTCCCCCTCTCCTTGGATCTGCCGCTGGTGATGTCACACCCTTGTCTCACAATATAGGCTAACACCGGGATAGGCCTCATTACAATGAAAACATCATCATTGAAAAAAAATCACATTACCAATTCAGTTTCAAACAGACGGGAAGCAAATTAAACGATTTAGCCATGCTTTGATCCATATTCTGATTGGGGGGGGGGGGGACTTTGATGAGAGGTATTATGGTATACATACGCCTATATACGTGTATACAATCATATTAACTTAATTTTTAATAATATTAATCTAGAATGTACAGGATCAACCATAATTTATACACTATAGCTGCTATACACGTACAATCCCGTACTGGCGAGTGGATAGATATATAGGCCATTATAGTTGCTGGCTAATATGTAATAAACTACAAGATGCACAGTGTCCTCGGACTGATAATGATGATTGAAAATAGTGCCAAATTGATTGACCATTGGCCGTCATCTCAAGTGCCCACTGGTCAGCTCAACAACACAGATTTCTGTTGGATTGTCTCCATCAATCATGAACCGTTTAATATTATAAAGCTATACTTGAATTCCTCGTATATGCCTACTGAAGACTCACACAGAAATATGAAAGAATGTCCTTCAGCCGGGAAGTGAAAGGACGATGCATGACATTTATTTTAAAGGAAAGCTAGTTTCACATGTATCAGATTGCATGACCAATCTGCATGCTAGCGAGCGAAGTGTGCCAATAGTGAGTAGAAATAATTATGGTCTATTTCGTATGAGGCAGGGTCACACTAAGTTTATTTTTCAATTTAGAGGTCTAGTTGCAATATTTTTTATTTTATTAATGTGAAATGATGTCCGTACATATTCTCATTGACAAACATATTTATGAAGATTTTGTTTTAAAAATTAATTCCAAAAATAGCAATGCGGTGCTATTGCTCTTATAATCAGTCATTTGACAAAGTGCATAGAAGATTATACTAGCTCTTATAGCTTGGAGCTTTAGGCCACTTTCCCCCTATCATTCGCAAATCTTATGATTAGCAAAAATTGTACTGCCTTTTGTATTTGGGTGTGGCCGAATCCCAACAATGCTTTGAGATTTGAACCAAAAGATCCCCACCGATCACTGTTGTGGGAACTGCAACAGGTGGATAAGCCAGCGATCGAATGTCTTGAATAGACGCTGAGAAGCACTATCCAACAGTTACACACCCGAACGGTATATGACTCATTATGAGTAAATTTATTCCAGATTATGTCCGTTTGTATAGGTTTTATTCTTCTGTCCTCACTCCTCACTCCTCCCTTTCACCCCGGCCCCCCCACTCAGAGGTCGGAATGACCGCATGCGTGTTGCCAAAATGTCCGGTAAAGGGGTACTTTTCGTGCGACAAAGTCCGGCCCGAGAATTGTAAAAAAAGGGGTGTATTTGACTTTTCACCCGGAGATTTCTTTAAAAAGGGGGTGTTTTTCTTTTTTTCTCTCATCTCTTTGGACTCCTGAGAAATTATTCCGAATTTAGGGGGGTACATTGAGCATTTTTCCTGATTTAGGGGGGTCTCCAAGGCAGGAAAAGCCCGCGAAAAGCCCGCGAAAGGGGGGTTCGGAAATGTTGGCAGTCCTCAGATAGGGGGTGCTTTCAAAAAGAGGGTACGAGCATATGCGTACCCTAAATAACACTGAGTGGGGGGGCCGGGCCTTTCACGCATCCCACGTGCATAGATCGCGCGACCCCCGAAAATGTACTAGTCGAAAACTGTCTCCGTTTTAGCGTTGAGGATGTGTTCTCAGCTGATTGCATATGGCGCGCAATCCGGAGACAGTCCATGATCCATGTCCAGTCCAGGCAGTGCTAGTGGATAGCGTGTACGATAACAATCTATGGGAATTCCCCGTCTAGTACAGGTTTGACAACCTCGTCTAGCATAAATTCGTTTGTGTGCACTCGACCCGTGGCATTCATGCTGGGTCAGTAGGGAAACACTTATTTATTCATTTATTTTATTAATTTTGTTTATTAATTAATTAATTAATTTATTTATTTATTCACTTATTCATTCACAATAACTATAATAATAATAATAATAATAATAGTGGGTTTTTGTATAGCGCACACGGCCTGTCTTCTTTGACGCTCGATCCTGCGGATCCACGTTACCCCGGCGGCTTTAGCATGGCTGCCGTAATGGCGCTAGATCTATTAATTCAAGGAATTCATTCCTGCCAGGTACCCATTTACCTCACGTGGTTCAAGTGAGTGTGACAAATGTAGATTAATGTCTTGCCAAAGGGCTAGTGCCGCGCGGCGGGACTCGAACCTCAGTGGCGGATCCAGGGGGGGGGGTTGGGGGGGTTGCAACCCCCCCCCCTTGGGCGGCCCCCCCAAAAAAAAAAAAAAAAAAAAGGAAAAAAAAAAGAAAAAAAGAAAGAAAAAAAGAGAGAAAAAAGAACGCACGCTGGAGAGAAACCCTTTCAAGTGCAAATATTGTGAGAAGATATTCAACTCATCTGGTAACTTAACCAAACACATGATAACTCTGGATATAACTATGTATTAAACTGTTACTTGATTTAAAAATACGTTATCATGCACTGCTTTTTATGGTCTCCATTGTGTTAATAGATGCCAGGAAAACATCACTTACGGGGTTCAAATAAACACCCCAAAAAAATCGGCTCGCCGCTTCGCGGCTCGTGGACGATGCTCTGCATCGTCATTATTTTGGTCAACCCCCCCCTTAGCAAAAAGCTAGATCCGCCCCTGAACCTCGAACCATGCGATACACAGCCGGCGGCGTATTCACTAGACCACGACACCTCAACTTCATTTATCATCATTCCTTTATCATTTATTCATTCATTAATTTTTTCATTCACTAATTCATTCAGTCGTTTGTTCGTTAATTTAATCTACCAAATAACTCGTATTTCATCGTGACAATAGGCTGCAAATGCGGGGCAGGATAGGGTTTTTGTGTATAATATAATTGTAAACATCTTCAAATTCAGTTCAGAGCTCATATATTGAATGATTTCTGACATTTGACACGTGCCCCTTTCCCTTCGACAAGTCCCCATTTTCTTTTGCAATAAGGGTCCATTTTACATTCTCATAAGTGTTTTTTTTTCTTAGTAGTAAGTGCCCCATTTCGGGTACGAGAAGTGCCCCTTTTAACTTTTGATAAGTGCCCCCTTCACCTCTGATAATTGCCTTTTCAAATCTGAGAGTCGCCGCTTTTACTTTGACAAGCGCTCCTTTTTCTTTGTAAGAAGCGCCCCTTCCCCCTTTTCTTCTGACGATGTGATGCTTGGATGCGTGAATGAAGAACGCTAGTATGCTACAGTTATGTGGGGGGGGGGGGGGGGTTGGAAGGGGTGAACCGCTCAAGCCTTGTCTTGAAACCCCTACCCATTTTAAAAGGTTATTTGGGCAGATTTTTCTCGAAATATAGGCCCATTTTTTCGCCATGCAAACATCCGAAATTTTTTGAAATTTTGAAAAACGGACCCATGTTTAAGGCTTTGTGAGTTTTTGTGTGTAAAAAAGCGTCCCATTAGAGCGGCACATCCCTGTATGTCTTAATATGTAAGTATCTCCTCCCCCGGGTATTTTTATTTCCTTCTTTCTTGAGAAAAATCAAATTAGCTGTTGTTATAAATTACAATGTATGTGTTTGTTTTCAAGGCCCTGTACCGAGACAACTCGATGGGGTCGAATGATCCAGGGTATGTGGTCGGTTAATTTAGGGTCGAGTTGTCCGGTGGCTGCGTTGACCGATCTTCTGTACGTATACGGTACTAATTGTTACGTGATTCCCGGCGCCTTAGCCCTTAGGCTTAACTCCATCTAGGTTTCCGTTTGTTTGAACATGGAGTGTCCCTCTAGATCTAGTCTAGTGTAGCCATGATTTGAATAACCAACATCGAACAGTGACACAAGTCCACATTGGATCAGATTTGAGGATAACTTTGATATATCGAGGAGACAACTTGGAGTGCATCTCATGCATGCATGGATGGCATGCCTCTCACCCAGCCCAGTCAGTTTTGTAGACGAGCTTGACCGAGCTGCCCTTGACGACGGACATGATCATTGAAATTTGACGCTCATCAAAAAATCAAGATCAAGTTCTAACAGTTCTAGTAGATCTACAGGTAGCAGAATTTGCCGTTGGCCATGGCAACATCAGAGTCTGAAAGTGAATCTGAAAGTCTTGGATACGACACTGATGATGATGAAGAAGCTGCTGAGCTTGATTCTCACGAAAGCAAACGTGTCTCAGGAAAGAGACCTCGAAGTCGAATACGTAACAAACACGATGATCGCCGAAGCATCAACCCTGGCGCCGACAGCGCCGGCAGCTCTAGCCAGGGCCACCGGCAACGTCTCAATCGGCAGTCTTGGATTTCTACTTCTAGTGAATCAGAAACAGATCTAGATCCAGGTCAAGAACTAACTGCAGAGGATCTTAAGACAGAGATCAGATGCATCAAATACCACAATCATCGGGCTACAACATCAGGAGAAACTAAATATCAGGGTACAAAGTCCAGCAGCATTGGCATTGCTAAGCAGCAATTGAATGATCTGGTTTCACTTTCAAGTTCAACTTCAAGTCATGGCAGAGCAACTGAAATAAAGTCAAAGAGGATGCAGGTAATTTGATGAACAATTAAGGAGACAATTGTTATCTTTTGAACTTAGGGTCTAGACCTATTTTTGATATAAAACTAAAAGAAAATTCCTATAAATAGACTCTAGACTCTAGATCTATATCTCTGATCAGCTTAACTTTGCTTAACTGTACATGCCCAGTAATCTTGACTTCTTCAAAATTGCAATGTACTGCCACTAGTACTAGTGCCAGGCACTACTGCCTGGTATTTCATCTTCATCTTCTTTGACGACATTGTCGTATCCAAACTTTGACCGTACCAAAAATCTAAATCTTCAACAATTGTTCAAATAATGGTACTTTAATTAAAAGTAGTTATGTTTCTTACCTGTTTCATGTCAATTTTCTTGACTCTTTGGGAGTAGTTTTCCTAAAAATGAAGACATTATAATAACACTTTCTCACAGGTTTCACGGCAAACTGCTGTACAATGGGATTCTGAACTAGCGCCAACAATTTTTTCCCGTAAAAGAAACTTCCTTAAATAAACTTAGTTTAATACTGGAAATTTCGAACCAAAGATCCCTGGTTCGACTCCCACCCAGACGGATGTCTGAAGCCTGGATTGTGTGTTAACGTGCCTCTTCATAGACGCAGACTATGTTAGTGTAAAACACTCCGTCCCTCAGATAGGACATCAAATAGAGGCCCCGTGTACAGGAGAGTCACCACCCTTGCACGTTAAGAACCCATTGCACTATTCGTATAAGAGTAGAGGGAACCCCGGTGTAGTGGTCCACCTGCACGCCCCAATCAGGCCAATACATACAGCATCTGCAATAACCTTCAGTATTGAAGGATATGTATGTACTCAAGCCTCAAATTGCTTTTTTGTCCATGTTTTTTTTTTTTAAATACTTGTAAATTTTCATTTAATTGGTAACCATCATCCATGATAATCCCAAATTCTTTGCTATTTCATTATTATCATTTATTCAAGTCAGCATTTTCCCTCTTACAACAAGAAACTTCTCCATGTTTTGGTCCTTGCGATCGCCTCTAGCTCCAGCAGATATGGCGCGGAAGCGTGCACACCTGTATGCCTACTATCAGCGTGGTATAGCCGCTGCTGACGGCTGCACTGTACTGCACTGTGAGCTTCCGTTGTTTGTAATACTCATAGAGATGTGGAGATGGGCGATATATGGCGGCCTCCAGAAACCAAAAAAAATTGAGCGAGAAATCCTGCATGCTAATCTGACATGTACAATGAATGTACTTCCATAGTTCCATTTTATTGATTTAATGTTTGAAACTCAATATTGTGTAAAGAAAAGCTAATCTTTATTTATAATTCAAGAGGGGCGATTTTTAATTTTGCAATCACCCCCATGAGCAACCTGACGGCGGTGATTACATGTAGCTTGGGGGGGGGGGGGGAATCGCCCGTCGAGCCTTGTTTGTACTAGAGCTATGAACCAACATCAAAAGAGAGCACTAGAATTGCAATGTCAATGAACAGGAAAAATGTTACAATCAACCTCCAAGCTTGAAGGAAATACCATGATATGATAGAGATAGAGAGTCTCTTCTTTCAATAAAGGTACAGTTTTCAGAAATCCCACTCTTTTATATATAACAGAATGAAATATCTGATTAATTTGTAAAGCATCCTCATGATTTTTGAACAGCTTTACCCAATCCAATTCTATCACTATACTTCTTTTCTATTTAAAGCGCATAGGGACATGCTATCCTGTAATGTGTTATGCACTATAAAAGAACTGAATATTATTATCATTATTATTGATGGAGTACTCCCTTTAGCAGCTCACTCAAGAAGCTATACTGGGATTGTACATGTACCGTACATGTACATATACATGTACATATGTAGGTGAGACGAGAAGCTGCAAGGAGTGCCATTTATACTTAAAAGTAATGCTATTTCAAATGTATACAGTCTTCATACATGTGTATATGGACTTTGCATGTTCCGTATGTAATGTTAATAAGATGGATAAATCATGGATTTGAATCGAATTGAAGAGTCCTTTTTGCTTGTTATGCAAGAGAAGCACTAACAAAGCTCAGAAGCTTTCCTACTGTACCTAAAATTGGGTCGCTGATTCTTTTTCTTCTGTTATGCTTTGATAGTGCTCAATTAGTCATACCTAACGATTACAATGAAAAACCCACAAAACAACCCTTATACTGTATGTATATATATAATGGGCTTGGTTACAATGGTTAGTAAACAGACCCCACGTGCATCTCTGTACATGTACATGTACATGTATGTGAATCAATAATTCATCTCGGTCTCTATACATACATGTACTCTTTAAAGGGATCGTTTATCAATGTTAAATCTGGGATGCACGACCCTACGTGTTATCAGTGTCTTGTGATATGGTGTTATATTTAAGCCCTAAAAAAAACTCCGCTTTAAAATGATCAAGAAGTGCCTCAAAAAAGTAAGAACCTTCGAGTGACCGGTTTTACCATACTCGTTTTCCCCAATAGACTGTAGAGTTATGAAACCCGTTTGGCTTACGCAAAATTTGATTTCGATTTTCAATCATAAATATCTTGATAATCAGACAGCTGATCGGCTTGTAGAAGTCATGGGGTTCCTGACTGACCTAAAGGTTTATCATTGCAGCATGAGCTAAATCAAAGATTTTTTAAAAGGATGCAAGACAATGTTACCGGATCCCTTTAATATGAAATACAAAGTACATACAGATGTACATGTAGCGCTGTAGATTTAGACCGGTGTGAACACGCCCAGATGATCATGGGTTCAATCAGGGGCCATTCACTTTATGTTATGGTTTTCTTTGTGCTCTGTTATATAAAGTTTGCTCCCAAAAGGAACCGAATTGAAGGTCTGCTTTGGGGTCGAGATAAATGGTTACGTGGATTTGGTGTTTGACTTGTCATGATTATCATGAAAGTATCTCTTACTGTTTTCACACTGGCAAAATTTTGCTTAACCCCGTACTATAGGTGGGGTTAAGGAGGGGTTTTAGCCCCACCTATAGTCAGGGGTTAAGCTTATTCCACTTTCTGTTCAGACTCGTATTTACCGAAGTGGGCTATAGCCCCACCTATAGTACGGGTTAGCTGGCCCTGCAAAATAGCAGGGCTAACCCCGCAATTGTGGTGCTAACTCCGCAATTGGGGTGCCAAGCAAATGAATGAGAACAGAAGTGAAAAATAATCCGGTACTACACAATGGAGCGTATCTCAGCTGGCCAGATGCGAAGTAAGGAGACTGGTATTAGTACATCAATCAACATACTCTAATACTGCTTTCTAACTGGGTTCTATCGGAGTCACACCGATGACCGCAGTTTTCCCCCTGTCGCTTTCTAACTGCCGGTGAAATTCACTCGCTGTGGCGAGCCCTTGCCGGAAGTGAAGAATTATTGCGTAATTATTAAGCCCGCGCTCCATCTAGCTAGCATGCAGCATGTTCAACCATAAGTCAATAAACACAGCTGATTACGATAAAGCGTGCGTATACTGCGACCTTTGACCATTTTAATCGCTGGTTTAATCGCCTTTTTCTCCTGAACGTTTTTTAACTGGCCGTTTCATCGGTGTCACACCGATAGAATGAGAATTTCTCCTGCTCTTGAGCAGGAGAATTTAATCGCCTATTTCTCTTCTTTTCATCGGCTATTTAATCACCTTTTTCTCCTCTGTTGCTTTCTAACTGACCGTTTCATCGGATGCGTCCGGATGCATCCGATCAAAATCAGTGCAGTTAGAAAAGGGTATAACTTGATTAAATGTACAGTGTACATCATAAACTGAATGGTTTTAGGACCCCTTTAGAAACTTAAAGCTCATGAGTGGGGCCCTACATGTACATACAGTAGTCAACAAAATACATACATTTACAGCAGCACCTTCTGTTATTGAAGATGTTTACTGTACCATGTAGGTCTCCATACAAAAAAACCCCTCTTTACAGAAAACCACAGAGATGATGCAATATCTGCCAGAGAGAGAGAGAGAGAGAGAGAGAGGTGTACTGCTGGGCCCATGGTATGACATGGTACATATCAAAGTCCATGGATATTACCATGCACAATAAAACAGGAAACTGAAGAAGAGGGGGAGATTCAAGAGAGAGAGAGAGAGAGAGAGAGAGAGAGAGAAAAGGGGAAATAAAGCAATGCAATAAAAACATTTTGCTCCATGCACAGAGAGAGAGAGAAAGAGAGAGAGAGAAAGAGAGAGAGAGAGAGAATCAAACATACACGAATGTACAAGTATGTAGAATCTGAATGAGAATGAGAGAGTCTGAAAGCAATATGTTGAAGCAGAACGGGTAGAGCAACCTGTCTATTTGTGATTGGCTGGATATTACAATGAATATTAGTCTGAGTACAAAGGTGTCCGCCCACAATGATAAATACCTCTCGGTTGTTTTCATACATTCTGGTAGTAGTATCAATCTGGCTTGATTGCACACAATTAACACTGTATGTACATGTGTGTGGCTCGAATACTACTAGGATGGACTCTTCATTAATTGTTATAAGATCCATTTTGCATTAATTAAGCATGACCAATGTCAGAGGAAATTGGTTACCTACAGCATGATTTGTATACTGCTTCTTTGGTGCTGTTGAATATTTATTCTCTGGTATATTTACTCTTTTGGACCATGCTGTTTCTTCGATATCGTGTTGGATTCACATTGTCCTCATCATGCAATGAATATTACTTCCGATATTTGGAATATCTACACCAATGTTTGATTGGGACACAGTGCTACATGTAAATTTGCAGGAAGTATGCCTGAATACCAGTTGCATACACGGATGACGTGTTTATATTTGGAAAATGGTTTGCAAGTGAGCATGAGGGAAGCTTAAACGAGGAAATAAATTTGTTTGTACTGTATGTGATACGTGCTAGCAGTAGTAAACATGGGTGCTACATCTACCGATAATGAGCTACCAGTGTTGGATTATTATGGTTCGGGCACACTGGTAAGTACCAACTGGGGCAGAGCTACAGTACATGTAGTATTTTGTCAAATAAAGGGAGGGGGCAGAATTCCATTAATTACTCATGGAAGGGATTCATTATTTCTTTTGATATTTATGTACTTTGGGTGTGAGGGGGGGGGGAGGAGGGGATGAGACATGGACCTGTTGTGCCCCCTTCCTTATCTGCCACCGACTCATATACATGTAGTAATTTTCTTCTCTTCATATTCCATTGAGCTACATGTTTATAGCTCCAACAAGGTATCATTGTACACACAGTCAGTGAATGCACTAGTATAACTATAAATATATTTGAAGAAGATTAGATGATCCAGTGTCCATGGCTGAGGCCCTCATAGGGTATCGTGCCATATAATGGTCACTTTGAGGTGTTGAAGCCAGTTCGTAAATACTTTCTATGCATGGGCAGAAAAAAAGGTCATTAGTTCCCAAATTGTAAAACCCATCGAGGCAAATACTGGCATCATGCCTATGAAAGTTATGTAATCAGTATTCATTTATTGACCGACAGTATATTCATCTGATTCACTGGTTGAAGTATTCTTCTCAAGAGGCAAACAAAAGGTATTCATGAAAGGTATCCATCACTTCGGCAGTGATTATTCTAAAATTCACAAGTGGGACGTATCTACATGTACATGTATCGTGTAAAAGATCTGTGGATCTTTTGGGGACATGCGTTAGAAGCTATTTATGAGCTGGCTTTTTAGGGAGTAATGACATGTGAAGGGCAGTTTTACAGTGAATGCCAGAAGACAAAAAGCCTGCTTTCTATTGAAGTAAGATTGTGTAATAAAGGTACTACACGAGTACCTTGCATTGATCACGACCATGTAAAAGAAAAATGAAATAGAAATGTCAGAAAAAAAGGAGAAATTAATATATGAGAACAATATGTTAAGAATTTTTGAGATAATTAATAACAAAATAAAAAACATGTGACATGTTCTTGAGCCTTCAGTTCTGTCTGGAAATATTTCTCCAGGCCTGTGTTCACTAGCTCGAGATTGCCAAATATCCTGCTATTTGAACTATCCCGATTGCAAACTATCCAGCTAATTTGCGATTTCATTAGCCCGAAGTTGCAATTAGCGGGATATTTGGTCAGGATTGTCATCCCAAGATATCTTTGGATAGTTTGCAAAATATCCAGCTATTTGTCCGGTGCGTCTTCACCAGACAGAAGACTCGCACTATGCGTGAACGCTGAGCAAAATATCTTGAGCTAATTTCTCAAGGTCGAGTTTCAAGTTTCGAGGTCGAATCTCGAGCTGATGAAGATGCGATTTGTAACATCGGGGTTATTTCCCAATTCAGCAATAGCGGGCTATTTGGCGATCTCGAGATGATGAAGACGCGCCTTTGGAGTACTTATTTATTATCTGATTACGAACCCCAACATCTGAAGATAATTGATCTGTCATTAACACAGAGATAGCAAGCAGTGTACATGTACATTGTACAGTATATCAAATTACATCTAACTCTGTACTCCTACATACAGTATATTATACCTTTGATGTGAGTTCTGAACAAAAGATTTTATTTTGCTATGCAGACTATGTAATTTGTTCTGTTAAACACACTATTGTCTGGGTGTTGAAAGAGCAGCCTGTGAAAGAGCTTTCAGATAATGGCTTGAAAGTTGAATCAGGCTTGCTCATATCTTCCCTTTTACAAAGTGGTAATAAAAACGGCGACGGAAGGAAGAAAGACCATGATTGTATGACATGCTCGTTCAGATATGCCGCAGTATACCTCAGCGGTTTTTAATAATAACTACCGGTACATGTTTATACAGTAACTATACATACAATTTATACCAGCCATTTCTATTGACCTGATATTATTTACCGTTTTAGGGTAGTTCTATTATACATGTACACTTTACATGTAGTAGATAACCCAATGAGAATTTGATTTATGGGTTTATTGTCATGAACTTCATGATTTACAACGACCTCCAGGTACATGTAATTTGATGAAGGGGAGAGAGAGGAAGAAAGAGAGAGAGAGGGAGAGAGCTATAGAAGAAGGTACTATCTATTACACGTACTGTGACAATACATACAGTAACTGTCAAAGTGTACATTACAATGAAATGCGTCAAATTGTAATACTTACTGATTTGCTTCATTGAAGTTTATTATTCATTAGTCAGAAGTAAAATACTGGGTATACTGATCAAACACAGAGAAATTGATGAGAGAAAACCCACAAAAAGAAGAGGAAGCGACTTTAATTGTACAACAGAAGCAATGACATGAAATGAAAATGCACTCTGCATAATTCACGGAAATAGAGATTTTATATATCAAGACACTTTCCAAATGTTGATCCCAGTCAACCCGGTATTCCTACACAGTACAAATTCATGATTTAAACCCTCATCATCAACTTGTTCAACAATGTATTAGTTATCCTGCATTATAATTCTGTAAAACTAGATACTTTTGCAACCTAAAATGTTCACTATTTGTGAATGAAAGCAATTTTCACAAATCTCAAAAACTGTTACGTTTGTGATTCACTTTACATTTGAAATCAGTCCTGAAATTCATGAACATTTCATGCACATGCAGTTTTGTGATTTGGGAGTACATGTACAGGTGTACGTGCTTTGCTACTCCCAACAGTTGACATAAGATAATGCTCAGACCATGATGCCCTTTGATGAGTAGCACTGACATCGTGTATTTTTTTCTTCTTTTTTTCCCCCTGACATTTGCAGGAGGGTGCTGTGATCTTCAGGCCGACGAAGAAACCTCATCACCACCGACATAAGAGGTCCGGACACAAAATGAAACCTCTCAATCAGGAGAATATGGGGTCTTACAAGAAAGCGCATCAGCATTTGACATCGAATGACATCTCGTTACTCACAAGAAGGAAGAGCCTTAGTATGAACGGCGGTTTGATACCTGTGGATATGAATTTTAATATCCGTGCATTGATTCACCCTTCCCTTATCGGAAGAGACGATGGGATTCCAGTGAAGAGGCGAAAGAAAATGTCACTGTCATCAGATTCAGAAGCAATATCAAATAATGAGATCAATTATGAGCCTGTGCTTGTCAATGAAAGAAGAACTACCAGTTCGCCACAATTTGAGAAGATTTTCACCATATCCGACAGCTCTCCAGACGATGATGAGAGAGATGTGAGAACTAAAAGCTCCCCAAGGCGCAGATCAAGCGACTCGGATGTGATTTGTTTAGGTTCCGACTCTGATCACAGGAAAGAAAGTTTCCATCAATCCCTACATCATGCTAGCTATACAAGCAATGCGGATGCAGAGATTGACCGTGATGAGACATTCTTTTGTGAACCACCGAATCTGATCCAAGCGGAGCCACTGAGTAATTCCTCACGTCATTATACTCCCCGTGATGATGATGATAATAAAGGTGCAGATTCAGACTCCAGTGATTTACCGGAGTTTACATCCAGCTACAATGAACAACTTTTGTGTGGAAATGATGTTGAAAGATCACCACTACAAGTACATGATGTTGAAAGATCACCACCACAAGAACATGTATGGCCCTCATCACCCCCTGATTCAACACCCCCTGGTAGTGATCGCTCAAGACATTCTTCGGCAGATTTGGGTGAAAGGGTGGAGCAGCCAACAGATGCATGTTGGGTGTCTTTCTTGTCCCCATCAGGAGATACAAAGGCTAGTGATCTTTCTGTGAGGAACTTTCAACACAGTCAGTGTATTAGTAAGCCCTTCAGCCAGGACAAGCGAAACACAGTGTATGCCTGCCATGAGGAAGAGTTCACTCAGGCAGCGGTGAACTTGATAGCGCAATTCACAACAACGAATCATAAACCACCACCACAGCTTCTTCAGGACCTTTTCCATGACACCTTGAGAAAGTGCAGCAGTAGTTCTTTAGAAGCCTCGGTAGTCTACAGATGCCTCAAGAACATCCAACACCTACATCATCCAAGTTCTAGGGACTTTCCTATGGAATGGAATCTCATCAAATCTGTAGCAACCACTCTAGTTAGTTCACCATCAAAAGATAGTCTGGATAATAGCGCATCACCAGCTATTAAGTGGCACATAGACCTGCTGTCTTTACACTTCCTTGTGTCCGTTCTTGAGGATGATGTAGAGCGTAAAGCAAGATGGAAAACACTGAAGAAGTCCTTTGCCTTCTCCATTCTTAACCCAGAAATCTGCAGGAACAATTGCAGAGAAGTTGTTGACTGGATCCACAAGGTAGTTTCTGAATTAGAACCATTGCAGGGATTTGAGGCATCTACTTCCTGTTCAACAGTGGTTAGTTGTGGATGCCCAGACAGTGCTTGCCACAGGAACTATGTCCTTCCTTTGCTTGGAAAGCTGTTGGAGTTGAGCTTTAGGATGGCAACCTCTTTGACCCTGAAGACATACGTCCAAAGGACTGTTGATGAACTGAACAGCTGTGGCCTTAAAGGACTACCGCAGCTGAGACTTGTGTTTGAGGTAATCCAGTCAATGTACCATTTACACTTTTTTTTTTTGGGGGGGGGGGTATATTTTTTAAATTGAAAATAAAACTCAACAACATTGCATACAGTAATAATATATCAATAAAGTAAATGGATGTGTGTACCATTTACACTTGATACAACAGTCTTGAACATCAATTACTGACAGTGCAAAACATCAATTCATTTATATATTTATGTACTGTATGTATCCTCTTCTACGGAGAGTTGACCTCAAATGTATTAATGGCAAAGGCCAAATGTGATGTATAATATATACCAAGAACTCTTAATCCACAGACTCTAAATTTAGTGCCCGACATTATCATCACCCATACTGGGAGATATAGTATTATCACAAGTCATCAAGATCAATTTAAATTTACATTTGACCAAGTTTGGCCCCTGAGCATTTTAATTTGTGTTTTACATGTATTGGATGGATGCAATGTATAGGTTATCTGAATGATTGACTTTGTTAAATGGTTACATGGTTAGGGGAAGAAGCAAGGTAGGGGCTTCCATTTATTTTTCGTGCTATTTCTATTTTCAACCATTTTTCTGTATGATCCATCTACAGACGCTCCAACAGCCGTGGCTTAGACTCAAACTCAGTGACCTGATCTTCAACACACACTTTGAATCCAAGATCTTCAGTCTATCAAGAGATAATATCTCTATCTCAAGAATCGTCCAGGAGTACTTCCTCTTCCTGCCAAGACCGACCTCGGTGAACACCAATGATGAGGAGGAGGAGGATGAAGTGATCGAGACTGGGTTTAGCAGGGGCGGTAAAGAAGAGATGGCATATCTTCTGCTTGTCATGCTGCAGAGTTACCTCAGATGCTGCAGTGGTGAGTACACAGCTTGGTTACTGTAGGATCTAACAACTTTACTATCGACTGCTATATAATAACTGCAGGGCAATAGTATAGATATATTGACTGCTATGAGAGACATCGCTGTTTCTATAGGCTCAAGGAGACGTTACATCCTGCTAAGACCCTGAGGCATGCCGGGGCAGTACAGAAACAGCTACATGTATGCTTCGAACATTAAAGCAGTCCATATATCTTTTATATACCGAATTCACATCTGGTTCAAGATGTTATAAGGGCATAAATCGCCTACCGTAGTATAAGTCCAAGTCCTAAATTTAACTTAATTAAGTTTAAATGTACAAAAATAACTTTTTTCCTTCAACAATGAACTATCAACAAATGTAAATTCTGTAGATTTGTGATGTCCCTTGAGATACCAATGGTGAGTGGCATGAATGGCCTGCCATAGTTCAAGTCCAACTTAAGTCGATCTTAGTCTTCCTTAAACACTCCCCCTCCCCCCCCCCCCCCCCCCCCCCCCCCCCCCCCCCCCCCCCCCCCCCCCCTCTGGCAAATTGTGATTGTGTACAGAGAACTTTATGAAAGTAGAGACAGACATAAAGTCTGTACAAGGGAGACTTGAAAAGCAGTGGTTTATGTGATCACATTTTGTTTACAAATTCGTTTATTTGATATAGACCATTATAGGTGACAGACAGTGTTGGCAAAATTCCATGCTTCCTTGTTTTTGATAAATTGAAAAGTAGATGAATTCCCCGTATTACCTTGGCAGAGGCTGCAATTTGAAAGACTTATGTTTTCTTTTGTTAAAAAGAAAATGTGTTAAAGCAATCATTCCTGATAATTGTTTAAGCGGGAAAACAATTTTGCTTCCACACTTACACTTTCATGCAATCAAATGGTCTAGATTAGCCCAGGATATAATCATAGATTTACACACAAGCTTCAATTTTTATATTATTAGAATAAGATCAGCCTTAATGTTTTTCATTCTCTTCTTTCTCTCTCTCTCTCTCTCTCTCTCTCTCTCTCTTTGTCTCTCTCTCTCTCTCTCTCTCTCTCTCTCTCTCTCTCTCTCTCTTTGTCTCCCTTGCCTTCTCTCTCTCTCTCTCTCTTTCTCTTTCTCTCTTTGTCTCTAAGAGTCGTTCAGCACCACTTTCAATAATTGAAAACAAATTATCATTACTTTTAACTTCACAGGATATACTTTGATGATTTTAATTGTCTGTTTTTTTGTATAGTGCTGAACACTTTGAAAGAATACCCCTGTGGGCTCTTAGAAACCTTATTAAATGTAGTGTTAATTTGTCATAATCGTGTGAAATGACATAGAAAAGCAACTTTGTATAATACAAGAGGTGTCTCAATCATTAATTATACTATATGTAGCGCCTCACTACTTCAGTTATAGCCTTTGAAGTTGGAGAATGCCGTCATCTTTTATCCGATCATTGCCAATTTAACATTAACCCATCAATCATTTGTAATCGCCCATGACGACATGAAACTACATGACAAACAGCCTAGCAAATGGAACTGAACGATTGAAGATCAATTCATAACAAAATTAAATAACTAAACATTTGAACAAATCAGATTAGAATTGTCAAATATTATATTAAAACAACAAAACAGACAACAAAAGAAAAATAAACAAAACAGTCCACACATTTACTCAAACCTGAACGCTACTGGCGTTTCCGTGTGCCAAAAGACGAGAGTCAAGGTCATGGAAAAATTCAAACATGGCTTAGATTAGGCCATTTGTTTGTAATGATGGTTTTATTGCAAGGATCTTTAGCATCATACCGTCTACATGTATTTCTTTTCATAGGATGTTGATTGTGGGATAAACAAGGCAATAGCTCAATCCTATTGAAAATAATATTTTTAATTTGTCATGATTGTATGAAGTTGCATATTTAGAAATGTAGCTTTGAGAATGAGACCATTAAGCTAATGTTCATGTCGTTTTTGTCTCGCCTGCGTAGCAAAAAGCGAGACATAGGCGCCGCTTTTCCGGTGACGGCGACGGCGGTGGTGGCGGCGTCAACATCAAAAACTTAACCTAAGGTTAAGTTTTTGAATTTTTGATATAATTTTGAAAGTATAAGTTCTTGGTCAATGAAACTTGGACTATAGGGTTATCAAGTATCCCCAATCATGTGAGTAGAATTTTAGATCACAAAGTCAAGGTCAAAGGTCATTTCAGGTCAACAGATTTGGACTATGTTGTAGCATCATCCCTAAGGTTAAGTTTTTTAGAATTTTTGATATAATTTTGAAAGTATAAGTTCTTAGTCAATAAAACTTTGACTATAGGGTTATCAAGTCTCTCCAATCATGTGAGTAGAATTTCAGGTCACTAAGTTAAGGTCAAAGGTCATTTAAGGTCAACAAACTTAGACTTTGTTGTGGCATCAACATCAAGATTTTCAAAATGCTTCTTCTTCGTTATTTTTTCAACAGATTTTGATTCTGATTGTTTCATATGATAGGGCTAGTAGGGGATTTAAAATTTCTACACAGAATCGTGAAATTCATTATTTATGCTAATTTTTGCAAATTTATTTGAAATCACAAAAAAGGCTTCTTCTCGACCGATTTTGATTTGGTTTGCTTTATATCGTAGAGCTAACTTTGGTACACTCAATTTCTTCTTAGAATTTTGAAGTTGCTCTCTATTAATTAATTATGGTAATTTATGCAAATTTATTCCAAAAATAACAAAAATTGCTTCTTTTCCCTCATTTCTTGACTGATTTTGATTTGGTTTGCCGTATCTAGTAGAGCTAAATTTGGAACACTAAACTTCTACACAGAATTGTGAGATTTTGCTCCTTTGATTATTTATGGTACTTTATGCAAATGAAATGAAATTATGTCCCTTCCAGGGCATCAAATTTTTATTTTTTGACCAGTTCAAAAGTGTACCACATAAAATTTACGATATTTGTTGTTGCGAGATGCGGATGAGTGCTACGTCATTGACGTTCTGGTTTATCATTTTGAAATGCGTTATGCAAGCGAGACCGCCGAGAGCGTTTACCTTGTTTTATATTTTTAGAACTGTTATCATCTAACCCCTCTCTCTCTCTCTCCCCTTCTCTCTCACTCTCTTTATTGATAGGATACCTGTCCAAGGTTGAGCAAGGCAAGAAGTCAATCTCTCTTTCCAAGTCCTCTTCACCATGGTCTTCAGTGTGCCGGAAGCAGCTTTCCCAAGATGATAGGATCTGCCTCCTGCAGATGGGCGACTATGTGGACCAGCTGAGGAACCATCTGAGTTCATCCTCGCACCCTAGTGAGATGAGCATGGTGACCGAGGTCTGTCTGGCACAGATGAGTGTCCTATATGAATGGATGTAGTCTTTCATCTCTATCAACCATGTCAGGTATGGGCCATTACACTCTATCCAGGGCAGGGGTACAAGGAGGGGGAGGTGGGGGGGGGAGGGGTTAGTGTGCACTCCATCCAGGGCAGGGATACAAGGGGGGGGGGGGATAGTGTGGAACAGCTAAAGAACCATCCGAGTCCATCCTTACACACCCTGATCAGAAGAGTATGGTGACCGAGGTCGGTCTAGCACAGATGAGTGTCCTTTATGAATGGATGTAGCATTTATTTGTATTCTCAGGTCAGGTAGGGGTCATTTAACCTTATGTAGGGGCGTATCCGAGGGGGTGGCGGGGGGGGGGGGGGGCTGCTGAACTAATTTCTTGCTCGAGTTCATCGTCTCATTCTGATGAGACTGTTATGGTGACCAAGGTCTGTCTGGCAAAGATGTGTGATCTCCATGATTGTATGTAGTGTCTAGTGTCTACCAACTCTATCAGGTAATGGTCATCACAGTTTACCCAGGAGCATATTTCAGGGAGGGGGGGGGGGGGGGAAGGAGAAAAACAAACTTTAGAATCACCTGAGTTCATTTCTCTTATTCTGGCAAGAAAAGTATGTATTACAGGACCTGTTTATCTACCACCAATGCAACAAATTTATCCACAGGCAGAGCTGGGGGAACGGGATTTAGCGTGTGTTTGACAAATTACGTCCCCATTCAAAATTCTGGTGCCAAAGTTTGAATTCTGAACACCTAGAAATTTTTGAACCTCTGAAAATCTGACAATTTCTTTTTCCCTTGATTGGCAAATTTTAATACCGCATACTGTCAGCCCTCATAATTCACTGAAACAGACCTGCCCTCATAATTCACTGAAAGAGAGAGAGAGAGTCAGAATAAATGCTCCGGTGTGTACTATGTCGGACTTCTTGTACTCGCACATGTATATAAACCGCAGAATGATGGGTATCGCTTCTCTAAGATGAACGAAGTAAGAGTGGTTTTAAAGCTGTGCGGCTTACCGCAATGTGGTCACTTACGAACAAGAGCCGGTCAGCAGTCATGCCTATCATTTGCTGTGAAGTCTTAATTGAAAGAAATAAATACTGGTACTCCAGTTTAAAAACAATGAGTTAGAGAGTTTTATGTTATGATAGTAATTAATCTCTGTATGTTTCCTCTTTACTATCATGCATGGGGGAATACCCTTCTGTCATGTAACACTTGGCTCATAGGTAGTTGTCGTATTTCCTTATAATGCTTGTTTTGAAAGAGAACAGTATCGATGATTTTGATTCTAGGAAAACAAATATTTGTATATTTCTTTTACAAATAGATTTGTCACATAGAATTGTGTTGTAGTTTGAATCATCTTTTTATGTGGTAATATTGACATGGTATTTGTTCTTTTGTTTGTTTTGGTTTCTTGTTTGTTTTGTCTTCAATTCAATTCAGCCAGACAAAAACAGTGCCTGTTTCTTTTGCACACAAAGAAAATGTTTCAGATATTAAAGCATTTGGTACTTTGATGTTTCAGTTGCTTGCAGCCATGTGAAATCTAGAATAGTCCAGGGATTCCTGTTGTGTCATGACTGATGTTTTTAATACTCCAGGGGGAGTTTCACAAACCCTTTTTTCAATGTAGAATGACAAAAGTCAGAGACAAATCTGCTGATGACCAATCAGAAGCAAGGATTTCAGTAGCTTATAACAAAAACTGTCATTTGTCACTGATGACAAGTTTTGTGAAACACCCTCCAGGTTTTACTCCAGGTTTTAACCAAACCTATCACAATATTCATCTCGCAGGTCACCATGATGCAGATACAACATCAAAGACGAATTCAGCATGAAATCATTCCAGGAACATCGTCATCGTCAGTCCCCTTGCTCTCAAAGCCTCTCATAGAACTTATCATCAGTGAGTAATACAAAGTAATATAAAGACAAGGTGACTGTATGGATTCCTCTTCGGGTTGATCTTCTCAAACATGATATGTGAGTAGCTCATCAAGTACATTGTGCACAACAAAAGAAGCATCACCTATTCACCGTGCCAGGATTCATTTGAATACTGAAAGCATTCAGACTCCTGTTCAGACTCCTGTTCACACTCCTGTTCATTGTGCCACAAGCCTGTGTTATTTGATATTTGATAACAACACAAAGTCTACAGAGCTGAACAGTGCACACCTTGTATTTCACTGAAATAACGTGATCATGTGTGACCATTCTGAGGTTGTTCTTTCCTTTGTCATCTCTAGCAGAGTAGTGGTGAACAAGTATGCATACATGTTTAATGGCCATTCATTGAAATAATGATGACGTGGAAGTTGTATGAGTCATAAGGTGCGTTCAAGCAATTTTTTGAAGCTAGAATCACAAATCAAACGCTATTACAAAACACGGTTACTGCGGGAGATTGTTCAAGCGATTTTCCATCAACGCTGATTTTCACTCATTTAAAGCCCAGCCACTGCGCATCACACTGCGCACTTTATTTATTTACTATTTATTCGGCAATTCACAAAAAATATAACAATGTAAATATAGGTAAACAAACATTAATAATAATATTAATTACAAATGCAAATTTTCCTGGAGGTCCTCTGAGTGCATCAGTTGGCTGCCAGGGAAGAGGAAAGCAAACTAAATCACTGTAACCGTAATGGTCCCTAATGGTCCCAGGAAGTATAGGATAACTTCGGCATGCGCTTTCTGAATTGGTTTACGGACGCCTGTCGGCCAAACCGGAAGCAGGCCACGAAAAATGATGTCGTAAAATCATGATTGAGATCTCTCTTGTGTTCAAATGATTTTTTTTTTTTACAAAACGCATCATTTTCGGCATTTCTTGTTTGAAACATAGTTATTTTTATGACCAGCAAAATATTGATTGAAATCGCTTGAACGCTTGAACGCAGCCTTGATCGCTTTGAAAACCGTGTTTTATTGTGAAAAAGTGACGCTTGAACGCACCGTTAAACATATGATAAAATGAAGATGGCCAACTCCACACAGTATGAATGAGAAGCACGGACAATAGACGGAACTAATCAAAGTCATATATCAACATGTCACAAGCCCACTCTAGTGTAAACAATTGTTAAAAAAAACATACATTAGGCAGTACCATGAACATGTAATGGTAGGGAAGGTGTATGAGTCATAGAAATATGGTACATGTAGATAGTAGAAAATTAATCCTGGTAAACTTTATACCTGTAAATCACAGACATAGGCTGTATGTCACATGCTTCGGCTTAAATTGCTCTGAGGTCAATCTTAAATACGAAACAAATGAAGTTTATCCCTGGACCAAACACAATTCCTAACCCTTACCCTACAACCTTAAAGGGATCCGGTAACTTTGTCTCAGATTCTGAAACAAAATCCTGGATTTAGCTCATGCTGCAATGATAATTAAAAACCTTTAGGTCAGTCAGGAACTCCATGACTTTTACAAGCCGATCGCCCGTCTGATTATCAAGATATTTATGATTGGAATTACAAGTTTTGAAAACCGTTTGCCAAATGGTTTTCATAACACTACAGTCTATTGGGGAAAACGAGTATGGTAAAACCGGTCACTCAAAGATTTTACTTTTTTGAGGCACTTCTTGATCATTTTGAAGCGCAATTTTTTTAGGGCTTCAATATAACACCATATCACAGACACTGATAACACGTAGGGCCATGCATCTCAGATTGAACATTGTTAAACGATATGTTTAAAGAGAAGGTTGAGTTCTGGGAAGAGGTAAAAAATAAATTGTGAGCGTTATCATTTTTATTACAGTGTATGCAAGTGTGGAAGAACATCAGATAAGACATGTTCCCTGAAAAGCATGGCTCTTCAAATGCCTTCATATTCTAAATATGTCATGTACATCGTAAACTCGGGGGGGGGGGGGGGGGGGTAGGTTTTTTACGCCACGTGTGCGTGTAGTCCCATATACATCTTTCTGTGTACAGTGATTGTAACTTTACCAAGACGTGGTCAAATTTCTCATCATTTTGATGATTCCAGAACCTTGCAATACACACAAATTCTTATATGCTAGATGATCAACCTTTTCTGATCAATACCACACCGTTTCTTTCACAATGCAATCGCATGACCAGAACTCAACTTCATCTTTAAACCCAAGTTCAACCCTAACCCTATATTTTTGGGGACATGAAGTTTGAGCACTTGATGCCAGAGCACTGTTTCAGAGGCCCACTGAGTTTAGAAGTCAGTGAGGTAGACATTGGTTATGTATTTTTACATAGGAGTGTTGCTACTTGGTAGATCACAACCCCTCCCCTCCCCCAATACATGTCTATTAAAGCACTGGTTGAAGATCATGCATTTCATTCATGTTCTTATGCTAACACCTTTTACACAATTTACTCTATGCAATTTGGTGTTCTGACATTGAAATATGATGGTGACTGAAGCACTAGTTTGTAAATAATATTTATAAGAGTTTTCCATTGTTTGTACATGTATATTCTGTCGCTATTACTCGCATTCTTCTCTTATTATCAAATTATTGATAAAAAGAATATTTCCGATCTAAAGGTACAGTTGACAACTAAATTATTCATTCCCTGAACAAGTTTTGTAATTATTTGAAGTATGTGAAAAATGTATCCATCCCGTTTTATGTTTCTTGAGAATTTGACATACTAAAGCTTACATCTAAAAGTATTTATTAAACAATGGCCCTAATTCAACCCGTCCATCTTTCATTCATGAGTTAATATGAAAACTAAAAAACATCAAATTTACAAGGAGTATGAATAATTTAGTTGTTAATTGTAATATATCAATCAAATGTGTAACGAGGAATGTACAGTAGTAGTTGTTTGCTACATGGTCCTCCTATGAACGTTTTTGTCAGTTGCTTATTTTGCGCTTCATTGCTCCATTCAGCAATACGTTGCAGTACGTGGTTCCTCCTTTCTCCTGCCCAATCATGTGTGTAGATAAAGTAGAATTTCTATTCAAAATTTTCCAAATTCCAATCATAAAAATTTGTCTCGTGATCTCAGATGGGTTAAGAAACTGCCTTTTTTCTAGTCAAAAGCCTGTCCATGCGTGCTCCTCAAACGACATGTTACCTTGAAAAGTGCTACAATGTTATTTCATGACCCCAAAAGAATTTACAATGTACACCTTCATACCTTTTCTGCACCTGACACCTGCAATTTTTGTATCGAACTTGAAATATTATAGGAGACCAATTGATAAAAGAAAATGTTTTGTTACAACTGTTTTGATGGGTTATAAACTTGTATGCTATACTCAAAACATCAGCATTCAATAATATTTTGGTATAAGAGCGATTTTAAATACTATCTGAATGATTTAAAATACTGAACTCTGACTGGAACAAGCAGTGTTTATAGGAAGCATAAGAGTTATAGCGATCTTGAGCATTTGGTCTTCATGATCATATTTTACTATTCCCTGAGCCTTCTTTTTCATAAAAGCAATATGTATTTGTAAAGAAGTTTATAAAACATTTATATTTGTAATTTTGTGATGTACATAAGTTAAATTTCCTATTTCCATTCATAAAATTTGCCTGTTGCTAGGAAACTGAAGTATTGCCATTTGTTAAAGTTCTTTGAAATCATCTTTTTATGCTGTTCTCAATTACCGGTAGCATTTTACACAATCCTGTGAATAAATAATTCAGTGTAAGAATGAGTAATAAGATATAGAAAATGAGTGGTAGAATTATCTTTTAGAGAATAGACATTTCCTGTTGATGTACATGTGTATGGAGGGATCATTTCGGCTCATTTAAAAATAAAACAAACACAACAATCAACAAATGCAAAGACTGAAAAATCAATCTAACACAATTTCAATATCCCTCCTGTTTTTTAATATGTGAGCAATGTCATATTGTTTGTTTGTTTTACCTGACTGCTATAAAATAAAGCATGGGTATGCCTGAACTTAAGCAAGCAGGGGACCGATGGCTTTGGCTTGAAGTTCTCTCCGAGGGACTTGGTCAGATGAGGATTAATGCCTTACCAAAGGGCAATGGCGCATTGGGTTTGAACCTGGGCCCTCCCGGTTAATACAAGACCACTGCTCCACCACTGAGCCATAGCTCACACATGGGTTTCTATCTATAGGTAATATAATAGGGGGTATTCAAATTGCCCTTAAATTGGTTTCTGAAAGTTCTTCGAAGTTAAATATTTTGTATTATTCTTCCAACATCATAACATATGAGATCTCCAATACTTTGAATGACCTGAAAATTTCTTTCATCAAAACCTCACTCCAGAGAACTTCTTCATTTTCATAGATATTGGGCATATTTTTTGTATTCTTACATGTAATACCAATGGGTTTATTGAGTAAAATATATCTCATAATTTTGTACATGAAAGTCAGAAGTTCTATATGTAAATACAACATTTTTTCTTCATATGTCAAATTTATATTTTTGTATCATTCTCCTTGAAAACACCTTGAAACACATGTAATAGCTTGAACTTTAGGTTAGGTAATGTCCTGATGTTCTAAAGACAGTTAACATGTGGTGTGGTCTAGATGTAGTGTAATGGTTTTACAACACACAGACCTGTGTAAAGTGGTTCCAACCTTGACCAAACCCTAGCCCTAACCCTGACCCTGACTCTGACCACAAGACAATTGAAGCCGTCGGTCACTGGCAACCCTTGCCCTAAGCCTAATGTAAAACCTAATTGCGACCCTATGCCGAACCCTATCCCTTCAATAAAACAAAGCCTGAAATAATTGTCGCTGGAACAAATATCAGATCACCATTTGATCATAGGTGTTGTTCATGCCAACAGGTTTCATTTAATCTATTTTGTTTTCTTTTTCTTTTAATCTTACTTTATCTGTTCAATACAGAAAATTTTGTGACTTGACATAATTTGTTATAGCCATACGTGTACCTGTAATCTTCTTGATATATGACTTACAGTGTAAGAACAAGTATTAACTGCTATGATGTAATTTCATATGATTCTTGATAAGAACCATTCTGTTTTATTGTGGCCTTTCCATGTGTGCATTTAAACGCTTTCAAAAATACTGTCCTGCCACAACAAGTTGGAAAATATACTGTTGAAGTACTTTGCCATATAGGCCTGTTTTCATCAGTCCAAAGTTGCAAAATAACCCACTATTTTCAGACTTGGGATATTTTCCTGAAGCTCTAAATTGCGTCTTCACAAGACCGATACGCTCATCACACATTGGCTCAGACGGGCGAAAATTAGCCCGCTATTTCCCCAAAAGCACAGTGACGCCTTCAAAGAACTAACCCTCAATATTGAATGGTGGTGGTTAATTTACCTGACTGCTAAGAAAGCATAAATGCTTGTAAGTAAGCAACCAGACGGCCGGCGGCTTTAGGTCCTCTCCGACGGACCCGGTAATGAGGATTAATGCCTTACCAAAGGGCACTAGCGCATTGACTTGGTTTCAAACCCGGGTCACCGGATTATGAGACCACTGCTCTACCGACTGAGCTATCGCACCTCCTCTGGCTATTTTGGAAACAAGACCAAGATTTCTCAGGATATTCTCTTGACAAATTGCAACTGCGGGCTGATGAAGACGCAAAATAGCTGGCTAATTTGAGATCGGGCTAGTTAAAATAGCAGGATATTTTGCAACTTCATACTTTCCTCACGTGACAGGTTCTATTTAATCTGATAAACATGTACATGTAGGTGCCACAAGATGGTATAAATGCTAGAGATAAACATAACAGATCGAAACGCAATTATCTTTCTTTTTCTTTTTCTTTGTTTTGTTTCATTTAATGTATTATGTATTATTTTCATGCTGCAGATGCAAATTGTGCAAATATTTTGGGTGTGTTTGTTATGCATATTTTGTATACTTTGTATACACATGTTGTATTATTTGTTTATATTTAGTTTACATTTTTTGATACTTTTTTGTTTTAATTGATTGTCATATAGAGCCAGTTACTGCCTCATGTGTGTAGTCTTTCTGTTGGCTTAATACTCAAACCTGTAAGTCAGACTCCTGTGTACATGCTCTGTTGGCGTTACTTTTGTTCTGTATTTTACATTTCTGTAAACCATAGTAAGAACGTCTGGAGAAGAGTATTAGCATTTAGTACATACATGCATTGTAGATGCATTGTGGATGATCTGAATATAGAAGTAGATATTTTCTTCAATGAACTTGGTACTACATGTTTTTCTGTCGGGAGTCTTCTCGATACCTGTAAAGAGAAACCTCATGTACGTCAAACTTGAAATGCCCACAATGCTAATATTATTGAAGGAATAGAGGGGCTCTGTATCGAGACTAGGGTAAGCTTAGTGCTTTCAGAACTTTATTTTTTTTTTCTCTCTCTCTCTCTCGCTCTCTCTTGTTTTGCAATTCCTCTGATACTCAACAAATTGCGGGTCGTTGTCTTTCTGTTATTTACTTGGTGAGATGTATATATTGATTTTGTATATATTGCTCAGTTCTTTGATATGAAGAAGTCTTGCTAAAAGTAAGCTTAACTGAAACATATTAAAATTGTTGCCTTTCATTGCAACATTGATTACAAAAATTCATTTTGCATTTCAATATTTCATCCTTTATTTTGTGTATTCAATATAAGTGGTATGGAATGAATAAAGTAAGCGAGGGTGAATGAATGTGATTGTGGTGTTGAGAAGTGATGACTACATGTACTATTACATAATTCATACCCCTTCTAAATTTGAGGTTTTTGTGTTTTTCGTAAATCAAGAATGAAAATTGGACTGGTTGGATTATTAGGGCCTTATTGCATATATTTTTTTCAAAAAAGTGGTACATTTCATTGTAAACAAAAAATCTCAATTCTACATCGTACCAGCTTACTTCGAAATGCCTTTTTGTGAAAACATGCCTCTTTATTCATGAAATGTCATGGGTAATGTTTGTGAATTAAACCCCTCTCATCTACAAAATGGTCTGGTCCAATTTACCCAACACTTTGTGAAAACCCTACAGCAAATCTATGAAAGGTTGCATCATCTTACGCTTTCGTTTTATGAAAAGGTTGTGTAATGCGACCACCCGACCAGACGAGATAACCTAAAGATTCAAAGTAAGCGGTATAAAGATTTTCTCCCAATTTTTTTCCTCCTCCCCTCCCCTCACCTCACCTTCTTTCATTTCTATTTGTATCTTGTATCAATCTGTCTTCTTGTCTTAAGTCCTCTTTTATCACACAGTTTCCCAGTATACAAACCCTTCACCTCTGCCTTTTCTGTCTTTTTTAATCTAAAAGTGTGTTTTGTCTTTAACAATCTCCCATTCTTGCTGCCGTTGTTCCTTTATTCAGATTATCCTTCTCTTCATTAACCATTAACAAACATGGAATATACCTGCATTACAAAATTCCCCATTCTCTGAAGCAAATATATGCATATGAGTCCAAACTTTTTAATGGTGCAAATTTGTAAAGGTAGAAGCTGTCTCAAATTAAAGGGTTACCGGTAATCATTTGGCAAGTATTGCAAAAAAAGGAAGGACAATTATTTGTTTTTAAACACAGAAATTTCGTTTCAAAATTTCAATTTTGTGAACTGGTTTGGAAAATATTACCTTTTAATGCTTCTAACTTGTTTTTTTTTATGGATAACAATATATTCCAAATTGCGCTTTTTTGGTTTGCAGGAGATTGGACTTGTCTCAAGTCTCATACTTTGATATTTTAGCTGCAAAGTTGCTACAATACACCAACTATATGTAACAGTATACATATGTAGATATATATTTCCCTAAAAACACAATCTGTTTCCGTCATGTAATGCTCATATTTTGGCCATTAATCTTTTCTCCTTATCACTTCTATCTAAATTAATGTACATTGACCTCCTCCTTGAAACTAATGATCAACGAAAGCTGATGATTACCACGTTCATTCCCAGAATCAGCATCATTAATCAATATGAATGAAACTCATGAAGAGACCACTCAATGAAATAAAACAGACACAGTAGGCATATATTGATGCATATACATGTATGTAATTGGTTTTCAGTCTTTCAGGCTCATACAAAACTAGTACAAAGCACATACACATATGGGGAAGACAAAGAATGAAAGAGATTTATTCATTGAAAGCCCTTCAAAAATTGTACAAAAGCTTTTTTCTCATTCAAATATTTCAATATCAAAATATATGAAACATCAAATATAGAGAATACTTAATCTAATTTGGATTCAGTTGTAGGTTTATAGGTGTACTTTGAAGACACTCGAGAAGTATAAGTACTTTTTTTTAAACAGAAAGTAGGAATGAAAAATTGGTTACAGTTGTAAGTTTATTGTCTGCTGAAAGCCAGAAGGGTGTCATTAAACTCACATTTATACAGACTTTATTAATTCCATCTCTAAACGGTTATTTTGAATTTGAAAATGCAACATGTTTTTAAAATCAATATTACAAATATGTAAAGTTACACATATTCTATTGGTCACAGACCACAGAAATTATATCTTCTTCTAAAGCAATTGTATCTGTATCTTCTCAATAAACCCTGATCTGTTAGTACAATACATGTATCTGTTTTGATTTAGATAAAGTTAATGGTTGCAATATATATATATATATATATATACTTCTGAACAGATAAAATAAGATACCCGGTACAGAAAAAAGTTTCTTAAACAAATATATACCTGACTATTCTTTATAGCTACAATCAGTTGGTCACATCGAAGAGTATGAAGTAATACTGCATCACTATGAATATACTGCTTGTGTGACAATTTCTTCTTTGAAACACTAGAATGCTAACAAAATAAAAACAACAATAATATTCTTATATGGATACCATGTCCAAAACCATAGCGCAGTGGTGTATTAAGTTACAATATTATTACGGGGTATATAAATATATAGATTTCATCAATTTCAATTTGAAAGTCAAATAATCTTGAATAGCCGGACTCATTAACAAATACATGTATATAGATAAAAGCTTGTACATTTACATCCCATACAATTCTTTGCACTTACAAAGTTATATAAGACAAAAAATTGTGGAATAAGTAGCAATAGCTGCAAAGAAAAATAATAATCGCCTTTAGTCTTTTACTAAGAATATATACACTACATTATTTTTCTCTATTTTTAATTTGTCATGAACCTCATCATTTCTTTTCCTTTTGACATGCTCTTATGCTGCGTCAAATTAACACAATTTTAGAGTAAGCGTATGAAGCCTTTCATAACTATCTTAAACGGTTTTAACACTATGATCATTTTCAAAAAGCTCTGCTTTTCCAAACAAATTGATTTGTTCACTAACAATGTAGTACTTGAAGGCACAGGAATGTGATTAGAAAGACAAATAAAATGGAAGGTAAAGTATCAAAAAGCAGCTCAAATATGTAGCCAGTTTGACATCCCTATGATCAAACTTACAAGAAATACATTACAAATTGTAAGCGATAGTTTGCTATTTCCTCCTGGGTCAGGTCATATTTACAAGTTTGATAATACACTGTTTCCCATAAAGTTGGAGTACGGGTAATTTTGCCCTCTCATCTCTTTCCATGAAATAATTTTGACAATATGGTACATTCTTGATAGCTAAAGCTGATAACTTCTCAGAACGTTATTGTTCAATCTAAATAATCATAGAGATTTGTAAATAAAGTTTTGAGAAGAAATAAAATATATCTTTCGAGAATAAACCATATAGTCACAATAATTTCATGAAAAGAGGTGAGCAATGAAATTATTCCAACTTTATGGGTAACAGTACTAATACTGCAGACATCCTTCCTTTAAAGGAGATTGAGTTACCCCAAAACAACTCACATCTTTGTGAATGTCACATATCGTAGTTTTAACAAATATCTCAGTATGTTTGACGATACCTTAAGTTTTTTATGTAGATGTATACATTTTTAATGTAAATGTACAATATATATTCAGCCATTTTGTTATCTTAAAAAACATATACATTCCCAAGAATGTTATTGACATTTTTAATTGACATATTTTCCTACAATCGACCTCTTTGAATTTCTCAACATAGATAAGATTCTATATTAATGTATTCAATTTCAATTCAATTCAATCACACTATATGAAATTGCAAATCCATCTCACTATATAGCATATATTTACTTTCGACTGCAAAACAACTTCATAGACACCATATGAAGTTAAATTTATAGAGAATGCATTAAACGGACGCCCATATGGAAATCAATTCTAAAAGTTCAGATCTGACAACATCCCTCAAAAACAAAAACTGACCATATGATATTTATACACATGTATTGCCATTTCCATAAAACCTCACACAACGTTGAATATTCAGAAAGTGGTTAAAAGCATGTATCTAGTACATGTATACCACTGCATACCTGTATTTTATTATATAATTTTCATTACCTTTTGTAAGATAAATTTTGAAGTTATACGATGTCAAATCAGGGTCCACATTTCTGAAAATGTGGTTTGAAGTGGTTCAAAGCAGTTAGAAACGGTTCCCACCAGACACAGTGGATATTCCAGTAAGGCCCCTATTTTTAAACTCTTCATAGAATTCATATTCCTTCTCTATCTGTCTGCTCAGGATGAAGGCCAGAAGCATCACCAGCAGCTAAATCAAGAAATGGAGAAAGATTAAAAGATATAAAAATGTATTATTGTCAAGAAGCAAAGTTAGATGTCCTGACTGAATACAAATAGGACAAGCTAATTCATTAACAGACACTTTTTTTTAAATTTGAATAATATTTTTAAAAAAAACATCCCCAGAAATTGCAGAAACAAGCATATTTTCATATTTCTTACAGAAGAAAAGGAAGGGGAAGAAAAGGAAGGGGAAGAAAAAGAAGAAAAAAAGAAGAAGAAATACTTTTATTTATAAATACTACTAGTTAATATCTATTGGTAAATAGCTCCTAATGTACTGAAAACAACCATATGGTTTTAGACAAGTCAATAACTGCATGAAGCATCATTGATGTAAATATACTTTTCTCTGAGTGCCCAATTAGTACTGTAACACTGAGGAATTACTAACCTCCATGTCAGTGACTCTACAGATATTAGGACTCTCCTCTCTGAGTAATTAGTATATACAGTCATGATTTACTCATTCTGTATGAGTGTGACTCCAAAGATAGTCAGTCTCTCCTCCCTGAGTATCAGTTAATATAATGATTGACTCGAAAGATAGTCAGTCTTTCCTCCGTGAGTACCAGTTGATATAATGATTAACTCCAAAGAGAGTCAAATTCGGCTGATTCAGTACAAATTTTAAACCTGTATGAGAACGTCTCTAAAGATAGTCACTCTCTCCACTCAGAGGAAAGTCTATACTTGACTATCTCTGGATAGTCAGTCTCTCTTCTCTGAGTATACTAGTAGATAGGTCATTTACTCACCTGAATGAGAGCGATTCCGAAGATAGTCAGACCAACGATCAAGCTCTTCTCGTTCACAAATAGCACAAAACCGTCGACGCATCCAATGATATATATCGTATCAATAATTTCAGCCGACTAGGAAAAGAAATTTAAATATATGTGCTCGTAATGGTCGCTAAAAGAAGGGAGTCAACTGTCAATTTGGCAGGAGTGGAAAATATCTTCATATGAAAAATGGGTAAATATCACACTCTATTTACTGCCAAACATACTAAAAAGGTAGATTAAGTAGGCTGGAAGACAAATATTGATAAAAGTTACATAATTTGGGTTTTCTGTTGTACACAGAAAACCTAATTTTCAATCAATTTTCGACTTCAAACACATTTGTTTTGAAAATCCTTGCAGGAATGAGTCTTGAATGACATCCTATTTCACATTATGATACAATTTAAGTGAAATTTTGCCATCAAATTGTTGGAGGTCCCAACACTTTAGAGGGGCTTTAATTGTTTTTCTAAATCAAACAATAGACTTGTTATAGGATGCTTTCACTAAGCAATTTACTGGGAATTCTGTTTCCAAATATTCTCCCACATCTTACCATTAAAATGCAATAATGAAGGCTACGTTGTAATCATTGTGATACGAGACATACCTCTGATCTCTGGACATTGAAGCCACACTGTGTGTTGATAATATCATCATCGGATACAGTACGGCAGCATGAGTAAGGAACGCCACACCGCTCTATGCTTGGGTTAGAGTCAGAGCAGTTGTAGTATCGATTGAGGGTCCAATCCCTATAACCTCCATCACCACCACAGCACTCAAGCTAAAACAGGATTTAATCATTAACAATTAAAAATATGGTTTGAAGAAAATTGTTTATTGAGACGTAAAAGAAGAGAGGAACATGTCAAGGGAAGAGGAATTATATAATATTGCTTGATTATGTTTTACTTAATATTATTTTTGTTGTTAATAAAACTCAAACTCAAACACATGCAGTGAAAAATAAGATTGAAAATAAATTTGGAACAATGAGTAATACATTCATGCATCAAATGTTGTTTACACTTAGTGCAATTCGCAAATAAACCCTGAACAATTTCAGAGATGTAATAGCTGAAGTGACTTTGTAATATCCCAGGTAATAAGATACGTGTAGAAACCTTGACGTAAATCTATAAATCACTACTGGACTAGATGACATGCATGCAGGTACCTACCGTTCTTTGTGCGTAATCAATGAAGTTTGTTGTATCTCCGTCCTGTCTGTAGTTCATTATTGCTGATTCAACTACCTCATCGACTGCTGTAAAAAACTACGGGTAGACAAAGACAAAGACATATGGTCAGATGGGAGAGAGAGAGAGAGAGAGAGACATAGAGAGAGAGAGAGACATAGAGAGAGAGAGAGAGAGACATAGAGAGAGAGATAAAGAGAGAGAGTGAGAGACATAGAGAGAGAGATAAAGAGAGAGAGTGAGATAAAGAGAGAGAGTGAGAGAGAGAGAGACATAGAGAGAGAGAGAGAGACATAGAGAGAGATAAAGAGAGAGAGTGAGAGAGAGAGAGAGAGAGAGAGAGAGAGAGAAATGGGGGAATATGGACATAAGAGCAGAGAAAGAAAACAAATTATAGAGACAAGAGAAAGAGAGAGAGATAAAGAGAGAGAGTGAGAGGGAGAGAGAGAGAGAGAGAGAGAGAGAGAGACATAGAGAGAGAGAGAGAGAGAGAGAGACATAGAGAGAGATAAAGAGAGAGAGATAAAGAGAGAGAGAGAGTGAGAGGGAGAGAGAGAGACATAGAGAGAGAGAGAGAGACATAGAGAGAGATAAAGAGAGAGAGTGAGAGAGAGAGAGAGAGAGAGAGAGAGAGAGAGAGAGAGAGAAATGGGGGAATATGGACATAAGAGCAGAGAAAGAAAACAAATTATAGAGACAAGAGAAAGAGAGAGACAAAGAAAAATAAAGTGAGAGAAAGGGAGAGACAGAGAAAGGGAGATAAATAGTCAAAGATGAGAAAAAGATGAGAAAAAGAGGGAGCGAGATATACAGTGTATAACAAATATGGGAAAGGGAAGGAAAATGAGTAATAAAGCGATAAAAGATATAGAGAGAGGGGTAGAGATAAAGAGAGAATGAAAGAGGGATAGAGAGAGAGAGAGAGAGAGAGAGAGAATATGGACATCAGGGAGCAGAGAAAGGGAACAAATTACAGAGAAAGAGAGAGAAAGAAGTGACAGAGATGAGAAAGAGAGGGAGCGAGATATAGAAAACATGGAAAAGGAAAGGAAAATGAATGAGTTATACAGAGATGAGAGAGAGTTGATTATATAATTGTCCTTGAATATCAAACATCACACAAATACAATACATTTTTATTTCATGCAAAATTTGATTTATAGACACTCAACTTTATTTGAAACATATTTGCTTTCTATTCACTTTGAACGCTTTTATACGTTGGATTGGGGTGACCTCGTTAGTCATAAGGACCGCTATTCATATTATATAACTTCCTATACATGAAGGCCGCTATTCATAAGGACCGCTACTCATAACACGAGAAGTAACCGTCTTCTTGTATTATGAATAGCGACCCTCTTCTTATATTATGAATGGCTACCCTCTACTTCGATTATGAATAGCGATCCTTATGAATAACGACTCTTTTCTCAAATTATGAATAGCGGTCCTTATGAATGGCAGACCCCGTTGGATTAGAGTGCAGTGCATGGTCATGAAGGAACAGATGTTAGGTGACATATAGCACTTTAATTGGTAATTGAAACATTACACTAGCTGTGACTCGGTCTGGAAAAATATTTACATAGCATACATCCAGAACTTTAAACTACAAAAAAAGGGCGGGGGCTTTAGAGTTGAAATACATGTAACTTTGTGTGCTGTAAAAATATTTGCTCCTATGTCTTTGTTAGATGTTACATGCAGACATCCCAGGTCTACTACTTGGCATGCAAATATTGGAACTATCAGTCAGTCATCTTACAATAGTGCACAATAGCGCTATTGTAAAGCTTTGACTTTACAATAGTGAGCCTGAATATTTGTTGGAAGGGAAATCCCACTCTGTGCAGAGGAGGAGGAGGAGTGAGGGGAGAACTGTAAATATTTGATGGTGGAGTTCAGTTTTTAATTGTTCTCTGATATATTAATCTCCATATTCAGAATCTTTATTTAAGAAAGGCATACTGCTTCTCATACCACTTTCTTATAACAATTCATTTAAGGCACTTTAGTGTGCGGAAGGACATGCCCCTTGCCCCCTCCCACTATATCATATTGAAAGGTTCTTGCCCCCCTCCCACTATATCATATTGAAAGGTTCTTGCCCCCCTCCCACTATATCATATTGAAAGGTTCTTGCCCCCCTCCCACTATATCATATTGAAAGGTTCTTGCCCCCCTCCCACTATATCATATCAAAAAGTTCTTGCCCCCCTCCCACTATATCATATTGAAAGGTTCTTGCCCCCTCCCACTATATCATATTGAAAGGTTCTTGCCCCCCCTCCCACTATATCATATTGAAAGGTTCTGCCCCCCTCCCACTATGTCATATTGAAAGGTTCTGCCCCCCTCCCACTATATCATATTGAAAGGTTCTGCCCCCCTCCCACTATATCATATTGAAAGGTTCTGCCCCCCTCCCACTATGCCATATTGAAAGGTTCAACATACCTGTCCACTGAAAGCAAATGCCAGGATACCAGCTGTAACTTCTAAGATGAAGATGAGGATCATAGACAGATAAAACTGCAAGACAAAATAAAAATACAATAAGAAAGAAAGACCTACTGGTAAAACAGTATAGAAATGTACATAAGAAATTCAATGGTGCCTCCTACACAGTTTCCTATCCAGCATAACAGCCCCCATTTGAAGGCCAAAGGGACAAAAATAGTATGACTTGCAATAGGTCTGCAGCACAAGGCTCCCATTTCTTTTTGGTTTGTTTTCACACATTGAACAGAATATGGAGGTTGAAATTGTAAGTTTAAGCTCCAGTCTAGAACAGAATTTCTTCTCTCTTTTTGTCTTGCTCTGTTAGGTGTCATAGACCACAAACACCCTTCAAGGTTGAATATTATTGGGTATATCTGATACGGTCAATCTTGTTCGGTGATATATACAGTGTATACATAATGGCAAGCTGCCAAAGCCAAAATCGATAGAAATACATGTATATCAATGACTTTGATATCCAAATTTATATTCCATCAGAAAACTATGTCCAGGAAATTTTATAAGTTAATACCATCATGTTATATCATTTGATGCCAAAACTCTTTATTTGCCTATTGTTTTTTGAACAATATTAGACGTTTCAAACGTATAGGAAAAATAATAAAATGCAACTTTATAATTATTAACTGTGGATGTATCATTAAAGATTAGGACCAGTTATGGTCATGCGATTGCATTGTGAAAGAAACGTTGTGGAATCGATCAGAAAAAGTTGTTCATCTAGCATATAAGTATTGGTGTGTACTGCAAGGTTCTGGAATCATCAAAATGATAAGAAATTTGGCCCAGTCTTGATAAAGTTACAAGCATTGTACACAGAAAGATGTATATGGGACTTTACGCACACGTGCGCGACATGTGCATTTATCTCTCACAGGCCAATAGATAAACTAATATACCAAATATATCAATTAGTAGGCAGTTTCCCGGCAAATTTTTTATCATCATGTATTAGTCAAAACATATTCTTTCACATGATTGGTAATGAGAGCTTCCTTTTCATTTTTTGAAATTGGAGCGTTTCCAATACTGGTCTTTACCTTTAAATATCTGGCAAACTCATGACACTGTATTCAACAATTTTCATTGCTACAATAACTCCACACCCTCTGCTCTGAGCCGGAACCAGTCACAAAATAAGTATTAATGTATTCAACAAAGTAAAAGTATGCTCCTCTGACTCTAAACAAAACAATTCTCTTTAAAATATATTGTTGAGGGATGAACTCATAAAAGTGAAATGCTTACAAAAGTCAGAAGACATCAGTTCTCCTTGCATGCTACCATAACCCCACACCCTCTGCTCTAAGCAAGAAGCAGTCACAAAATAAGTATTAATGTATTCAACAAAGTGGAAATATGCTCTCTAAACAAATCATATTCTCTTTAAAATATATTGTTGAGGGATGAACTCATAAAAGTGGAATACTTACAAAAGTCAGAAGACAGCAGTTCTCTCTGAGGGCGCCAATGAACCCAGCGAAGTTAAGTATGATCCCAAGACCGCCGACGACCACCATGACGATGGCAGGATCTGTGAAGAAGTCCAGGTATGATGTGACTTTGACATTGTCTCCTCTCTCCACCAAGGCCCAGATACCTATACCTAATACAAACCAACATACCAGCTGGTGGAGTGGATGGATACAAATTTGAAAACAGAGAAATGTTAATCTGTTGATTGTTATTCACATTAATTTGTCTAGCCTTGATACAGGAACCACCCACATTGGATTTTAAAAAAAAATTGAAATGTACACAGTAGGAATGTGACAGACATTCTTTTTTCCTCCTCCTCCTCCTTCTATGTATTCTCTTTCTCCTTCTTCTTCTTCTACATATTTTTCTCCTTGTACTTCTTCTTCTTTTATGTCTTCTTCTTCTATTTATTCTCCTTCTTCTTCTTTTCCTCAATCTTTCTTCTCCTTTTTTTTTTTAGTTCTTCTTCCATTGTAAGTAAATGTATATTCCACAGAGTTTTTTTCATTTCAAATAAAGGCTTCATAGAGTTGAAATTTAATATCTAATTTAATAAAATTCATCTTTACATCTTGTTATAAAACGGTGAATGATAGTGTCACTCTACACTTAAATTCCAAACATTACTTAATTTTATAATTACATGTATTGTAACCAATTTCTTCTTCTTCAAGGAAACCGGGTATTTGACATGACAGAATCATTTAATAACATGTTTTGCAGAAAATGATATCCTATATATTGACATTTCCATACTTAGTTTGGAGCAATGAGTGCAAAGAGAAAATGACTCTATTGTTTCAACCCCATTATCTCTTTGGAGCAAAAGATTTAATGCCTGTCTGGCCTTAAACACATGCTATGTATATTTCCATTTTTAACCAAAACAAAATCAACTTTCATCTTAATTTTGTAGAGAACAATTCTTACATTGTAAAATCAATTCAGCATTTTCTAGTGAATAATATTCCGCTTTTATATAGCGCTTAATTAAAATGTCTCTATGCGCTTTACAGATAGATGTACTAAATATAAACAAAAGAAAATCATGACAGCATTTTTCAAGGTTTCTGAAAATAAGTAGCACCTTGTACTCTTTTGCTTTTCAGTTTTTACTACAAATCTTATATTTTAGCAAATGCTTTACTCATGGTTCTTCTCTCTCGGAAGTCTTTAGCACACTTTTTGAAGAAACCTCTGATATAATGCAATGATTTCATAAACATAAGACATTACATCACTTATAAATTCCTGGTTGGAAGAATGTAATTGTTTATGCTGTCCCATTTAAGGTTGACATTTTTTTGTGGTAATAATACAAAATATATCATATAAAAAACATCTGATTTCATCAATCTATTCAAAGAAAGAGCTAGAGTCAACCTTTTTTTTTTTTATCCCTTTAGTTTTTGGAAAAGAAAAAAAAACTTAAACCGAAGGTGGAATATTTCCATGCAATATTCTCATTCAAAAGACAAATATTTCCATATTTTTTTCTGAAATCATTATTGGTGTTCTGTTGTAATATTAATACAAAAAGATATCGTATCACAAACATCTGACGTTATTAATCCATTCAAAGATAGAGCTAGAGTTGACATTTTGGTTTTTCATATCTTTTGTTTTTGGCAAAGGAAAAAACTTGAACCAAAAGTGGAATATTTCCATGCAATATTTCTTGTTCCAAAGACAAATATTTCCCTATTTTTACAGATATTATTATTGGTGCTCTGCTGTAATATTAATACAAAAATTTATCATATAAAAAACATCACATAATCAATCCATTCAAAGAGAGAGCTAGAGTTGACATTTCGGTTTTTCATCTCTTTTGTTTTTGGACAAGAAAAACAATATTAAACCGAAGGTGGAATATTTCCATGCAATATTTCTCATTCAAAAGAAAAATATTTGCCTATTTGTTCATATATTATTTTTGGTGTTCTGTTAAACTTCGACCATATACTTGTAACACAATACAGATATTTCCATTTCAAACATACAGCGGAATCGTCATTAAAATGTTAAAATTTAAATAGCACAAAAAATAATAACACATGATCTGTTTATCATTAATCAAAAGCAAACACAAGACTCAGTCACAGGTGGTATAAAAAATGTGTAATCCATGTCGTATGTCGTGTAATGTTCATTCAATATATTATACCTCTATACCTTCTGATCTCGTGATAATATAAAATTCCTTACCCAGAAGAGAAAACTGAGGGCATACAGTGTATACTTCACACACGGGTTGATGACGTTATTCGGTATTCGCTCAGGCGCCACCATTTTGAACTCTCTCCACGTTGAATGTGTGGACGATAGCTAGCTAGCTGTGTAGTGCTGGTCGCAAGGCTTCCACTGCCAGTAATTAACAGCTATCTAACGTAGATAACACCTGTTACGATATCTAGGAACACTAACCCGATCCAGTGCTGTATGGTTTCCCCAACAAACCGTGTATAGTATTCACGCCACTATACAACTGTGGGCAGTTTCTCCATCAATATGTAGATTGAATACTGATGTAGCTCACTGAACCCGCTTCAAGAAATGACAATAGACCATAACACTTATCCTATGCCCCCGCCCAACATTATTGGCACCACCGCTATCACTCTTTTCTTAGTAAACAACAAAAGAGGCAAGGAAGTTCTTCGCGTGGGTTCGCTGCTTGCAACCGGTTGAATGCTGTAGGTCGTGAATTGTTTGTGTCTATGCACCGAACCATATCATTGTACAATGGGCATAGCTATAGAGCTGACACAGAGAGATATAATATACATACAATCATTAGAGCTGAGGTTAACCATTGTAGGCATACTCAGATTACTACATTTGTCGGGAACCGGACGTCAATGTTTTGAGGACCAAGGCCCAAAGTTGGGTCAAGTCAATTTCATCACTCCGAACTTTCTTTCGGAAAGGAAACAATAACTGTCACATAGGAAGCGAAACTAACTAGACCGTTGGAGTTTGTTTGTTTTGATGTGCGACTAAAAGAGAAAGAGAGAGATATAAGAGCGAAAGGGAAGGAGTGAGATACTAGAAATAATATTAGAGGGAGATAAAAAAGAGAGGGAGATAAAAATGAGAGAGAAAGGAAGAAAGAGAGAGAGAGAGACAGACAGACAGACAGAGACGGACAGAGAGAGACAGGCACAGAGAGAGAGAGAGAGATATATATATATATATAATATACATACAATCATTAGAGCTGAGGTTATTGTAGGCATACTCAGATTATTACATTTGTCGGGAACCGGACGTCAATGTTTTAAGGACCAAGGCCCAAAGTTGGGTCAAGTTAATTTCATCACTCCGAACGTTCTTTAGGAAGCGAAAACAAGTAGACCGTTTGGAGATTGTTTGTTTTGATGTGCGACTAGAAGAGAAAGAGAGAGAAAGTAAGAGCGAAAGGGAAGGAGAGAGATACGTACTAGAGAGAATATTAGAGGGACTCAAATAAAAAGAGAGAAAAAAAGAAAGAGAGAAAGAGAGAGAGAGAGAGATGGCGAGATATACCTTATCGAAAAACTGCAAGAAAAAAAAAAGATTTCCATGAAATACGACCCTCAACCGTCTGATATTTGACCTACGTTTAATCAAAAGCAGGGGTATGATTATACACCCTCTTACTTGCTATTTAAAACGGTGGATCAAGAAAGGAAAAAGTGAGAAAAAAAGAAACAGGGGAGAAGAAGAGAAGGAATAAATAGAAGAAGAAAAAGAAGAAGAAGGAAGAAGAAGAAGAAAAAAGAAGAATGTGAAGAAGAAGTAGACGAAGAAGAAGAAGAAGAAAGAGAGAGAGAGAGAGAGAGAGAGAGAGAGAGAGAGAGAGAGAGAGAGAGATGTCTCAATGATAGGATATTCACGGATTCAGGTTTTGAAAAGCCTTTCAAAATAAGGTTACATACATTCGAGAGCTACAGGGGTAAATTGGGGGTAGGATATAGCTTGTGCCCCCATAATATTTTGAAAAATTATTCAAAGAAAAGTACACTGAAGAAATATGACAAGAATCTGCCTTTGGTGTATTTTCAAATCAGGTATTTTTTAGGAAACTTTTAGATGTTCCATTTCAAACACTTGCTAGAGTGTATGGAGTAAAACCTAATCCATGCATCAATCTTAAAGATAGAATATCAACAATTCAGTCACTTAAAATGAAAACAAACACCATTTATAAAAAAAAGAAGTAGGTACCATGCAGTTTATCGTTTGTTCATTCTCTCTCTCTCTCTCTCTCCCTCCCACACTCCCCGTCACTCCCTTCTTCCCTCTCTCCTTCTCTCTTGTCTGATGGTGTGAGAAAATTGAGATGTGGACATCACAGTGAACCAACAACCCGCAAAAAACAAAAGTAGAAAAAGGTTTCACAAGAGTGACACTAGCCGTTGTGCACTGTAGCCTTTGAGTAAATGTAAATATTATGTATTGAATATTTGGGGTAAACCACAATGAAAGATGAAAGCTATTTGATGTAATTTTTTAAATGTTGAAAGTTAAACTTTGAAATACATAATAAAAAAGCTATAACATAACTCAAAGCACACCAACATAATTTTATCTGTGTGGTTACATCATCTAAATCAATTATGAGTGCTTTCATGTTAAAGCCCTCAAGCATTTTAGAATATATAAAAACAAAATAATCACAACAGAATAGACACTTATTTTTGCATAAAACTTTATTCGCTGCAAGGTACAGAAATAAATGGAGCATGCATTTATTTCACTTTTGCATTTCAATATTAACTTTTTCTTCATTGAACAGTGAACATAAACTGCATTTTCGACCAGCAGACTGAATGCCTTTACCAATCTAGAGCTAATGAGATGTAATAGTAAAAACAAGTTGTGTTGTTATCTAGTCATTTGAAAATTTAAAATGTATTCTCCAAGAAAATAAAATAAAATGGACTTAACTCAAAGGTTCATGTACAATATTGAACTAAAATTAGATTAATCGAAATAGAAGAAAATATTTTGTGGTAAATTTAATAAATGTCAAGGATAATTTCCAACTGATCAACAGTGATATATTTTCATTGAGGGGACATGTGTAATGCCTTCTTTCACCTGTGTGCCAAAGTTAAAGTTTCAAAGCTATTAATTTGATCTCATTTGTACTAAAATCATAACATTTCAGCTATCCTAACTCCAAAACCTAATCAGTTTGACCACTCAAACTCAATATACATTAATCACATCTTCATCCAATGTTTGCATGGTAAACAGGAGGAATTTTTACATCATCATTTCATGCATGAATATCTACATCTAAAGTTGTGTTCACATATGACATCATGAACCGCCATAAAAAAATGACTCAAGCATAGAGCGCTTCACACTCCTGGAGGGGCGTTTCACAAAATTTGTCATCAGTGACAAATGACAGTTTTTGTTATAAGCTACTGAAATCCTTGCTTCTGATTGGTTATCAGCAAATTTGTCACCTATTTTTGTCATTTGTCACTGGAAAAAGGCTTTGTGAAACACCCCCCTGTACCTTGAAACTCATAGACAAGTGAGCACACTCTGGGACCATTGTTGCAAGCAACGCAGCTACTATTTTTCACCACATTAGCCAGTCATTTACAAGTACAATGGCTTTTATTTTACAGCAACAACATTTCTTTTGAGGCAGTTTATCCAATCTTATGTGAACAAGGCGTAAATCTTTGAAATTAAAAGTACTGGAGATACAGTCATGCCACCAAATAGCATTACATTGATTGCATATCAAGACATCATATACATATTGCATGTTCAGATTATCATTACAGCAGGACACATAGGAAATCAAAATCCTTACCAACAAGTTTTTAATAATACAGTCAAATTTTTCAATTAATTTTATATTTTGACTAGTTCTGAAGCTTTTAGGCAACTAAAAAAGAGTCTTCAAGCCATCAAGGTAATCAAGGTAATAGAAAATGCTCTTGATTTAACAACTTCAAGTTCATTTCGAGAAAAAAAAGTCTTACGGTACTCCTAAAATAATGAAACAGTGTACCAATCTTAGTTTCATCAACTTTGAGCTTAGATATTTTTCAGCAAATTTCAATGCTGGAATTCAAGAATAGTATAGTGGAAGACATGCAAAAATATAGATTCTTGAAATTAAAATATACTCTGAACCATATACATTATACCACCACCCTCATCATTGCTACATTTAAATATCTTCTCTCTCTCTCAAACTAATAAGCACAGAAGTATATTACTGATATACTACTTCTATATTCCCTTGTCCCAAGGATACACAATTATCTTAAAGGTAATACAAAGTTTTGGGAAATTTGGGAAATTGGGTGGATAGTGATTCTTAACAATTTTGATATATTTGGATGCCCCTGTGGATGTATTATAAGCACTAGAAAATTTAGCCTCTAAAACACTTCTGCTTTCGAGAAAAATTTAATATAAAAATTTACCGGTGCTCCCAGTAAATTTTGATAAATTTCAAAAAGTGCCTACGGCCGTACAATGGTAGCTGCGGCCATGAAATTCTCAGAATATGTAGATGTGATATATAACTTCCAAACAAGAATAGCAAATTGGTCGATTTTAGTCAAGAAACATTGTTTTATAGCTTAATTAATATCTTGACAAAAAGAGTGTATTATTTACAATTTCATAACTTTAAACTCAATTTCAACTGCGACAACGATCACTGAATATTGAATGATCGCATATGCTTCCAATATGTTCATTTGAACCAAATTCATGACCCCATACCAAAACTTTGTATTACATTTAACCAATACATGTACTTAGACAAGTTGACACTATGGTACTTCATTGTGGCTTAATCCAAACCCTATATACAGTACTTATAATATTACCCTCATAGTTACTCCTACAATAGTGATTCTCACTTTATCTCCACTCAAATGATAAACCAACAGAAATACAACAAATCATAAAACTACTATGAATTCAGACATCCAAGAAACAGACAAGTCTATCTGAATTAATCTCTGTACAAAGTATATACATCTCATGATAGCACTACAAACTTAAAGAAGTACAAAACAAACAAAACAATTGCAATCAACAAACAAAATGAAAGATTGCTGGTAGTACTGGTGATAATAAAAGGTTGTAAAATATATATCCTAAACAACACGCAATAAATGTTTTCTACATATGTTTTGGCATGTACTTAAAGGGATAGTTGAGTTCTATTTTCAGACCGCAAATGCCTTCAAAGTGCATAGTTATTGCTCTTATTCTTATCTATGACATTTACAGGGCCCATTTAGAACCTAAAATTGCTATGAAGGTAATTTTAGACCCCCAAAATGTGTGAAATTTAGCCGATACGATCATACCAATTCAGCTCCACTTTTAAAAAAAACATGGTGACCGTTAATTAATTATTCAGTTAAAAATAACAATACATGAGCAGGCTAATTGTGGGTAATATAAGCAACACGAAAATGCCAACAAAAAAGCCTACATCGGCATTGGCTGAAATACGACATAAAAGGCGTTATTTCATTTTTTTTCAACTTTTTTTTCAAATTGTTCAAAATATCTAATATTTGTGGTGGTACACAAGTATTGGAAATGGTTATATTTCAGCCGTCTCTGAACCGATTTTGATCAAACAAAGATGATTTTGTCATTTAAATATTATGTTCTTTTAAATTTGACAGTCAGTTTTTCATTATCTCACACAAAAATTATTTTGTGTAGCGCCCTCTGCAACAGAACTCAACTATCCCTTTAACAAATACTAAAAGACTGGATGGAGAAAGAGACAACAAAAAGCTTTCTGTAGAAACAGTACCCTATAATAATTCTGAAACACTTCTTACATGTAATAGTGGTGAAATGATGAATCATTGTTTAGTATCGTTTAGGAAGGATAAAATCATTGGTTTTAAGAAAATTTACATTACTTTGCATACCTTGCAGTTTTTTGTATATATTTCTACAATTCCAAAGGGACTTGGATATTCATACAGTCTCAACAAGCATTTGAAAGAGATAACACCTTTTACTTTATAGAAATCTTGATAGAAAAAACGGAGGGGTAGAAATAGCGTATTTACAACTACAAATAAAGTGGCAGTATTCAGAGGAAACTATACTCGTTACAGACATGTTGCAGTATAATGCTCATCAATATAACAACAAATATCAGCCAATGTTCAAATGATAGAATAGATTTCAACAAAGTACCCGGTACGGTCATATTGTATGCACCATGAAGCTTGCAATAACACTATTTGAATTCTAAAGAAAAAAGGGAAATAAAAAAAAAGACAATACACTGCATATCGAGCCCATCTACCGCAAGACTTTGTCCCTTAATTCATTGCAGGTTTTCTCTGAGAAAGTTCAGGCATACCCTGTGTGCACAGTAGATGGGCATCAATAGACATGCAGACAATGGATGTATGGATTTACATTTCGTGAGCAACACATACCAAAGTCTTTGATAACAAATTTCAGTCTGCACATCGTCTGAATGATTATCAGTGATCTGTTACAATGCCACCACAAAAGCTTTTTGTTCTGTCAGTAAAAAATAACCCCATACCACCCCTCCCTCCCCCCCAAAAAAGTCTGCCAAGCACCAAAATATGAAAAGTACAAAATCAATATCAATATGTGTGAATATACATGTATAACCCTTTCAACATAACATAATAATATTTTCATGTAGATATGATAAGATGCCAGCATTTCATGGTTATATCACAATGACACACAAGTATATATATATTGTTTGATAGCTTGCCTGAGACTTGCTCACATAGCATTGCAAGATAAACACACCACAATATATACACATGATTGGTTGATATTATGTATTGATTGCAACATTTCTATAACACATATTAAAGGGCAAATATCAGTTCTTGTATATTCCTTTCTGGTAACCGTTGGTCAAGAATCATCAGTTTGAATTTTAAGAACAATTATGAAGCTTTCCACAAATTATCTGCCAAATTGTTTTCTTTAAAATACAACATTTGGAATATATGTGGTCAACCAATTTTCATTTCCAGATATTATGAACAATTTTGATAGGTGGATGATTCAGTGAAATGTCTCCAAAAAAACATACTTTTATTAATTTGATTCCACCCAAATAAGTGATGTTAAATCTTTCAATATGACCCTTGATTAGTGTCATTACCTACCATCACTAAATTGTCACCACTAAGATCTTTAATCAACTATGTATACGGTCAGTTAGCTGAAATATTTTCCTAATGACTATCAAAAACCCAGTTGAGATGTATCATCTTTCAGTATTAGAGTCTCCTCGTCCCTGTATCAGTACATAGATAATTCTTGTTTAAATCTAGTCAAAGAGGGCAGTAGTCAAGGGATGTCGTCCTATTGAATCATTTGTTTTTTTCTGCCTGTATGGGGGCCTCCTTGTAGAGTCCATTTTCTTTGACGTACTTGACGACGGGTTCAGGGATCAAATACTTGACACTCTTGTCTCTTCTCAGGGCAGTCCTAAAATGAAAGAAATCAAATCAAACATAGGAATTATGTAATCACAACATGATAACTGGTTTCCTTTTTCTATATTTATCATTACTGAAACTAGAAATTGAAGACATTCCAATGTAGTTCTATAACAGAGCACATACCAGTTGTTCAACGAATTTGATACTGCCATTGTAAAACTGGCAGCTTTAATACTTCAGTTTGCCATTACTAGTCGGCAGAAGGTAACAAATCTGATTGGATGTGGCATAGAACTATATTAGATAGCTTATACATATACCAAGATGTGATTGGTCCAGAGCTCGTCACGTGAGAATAAGAATTTTTTTTTTTCTAATTTTTTTTCTCCAATCTAAAAACAACAAAATATATATATTTTTTCTTGAATAATCTTGAAATATTTTTTTTTGGTCAATTTTTTCATGATTTTGTACTTTGCTTACATATTGATTAAACATGTATTTAAACTTCAGTTACAATGGAAGGAAACTTTGTTTCAAATATCACATCAACTTAGAATAGAAGGTCTATTTATTTTAAGACCTTTTTGATGGGTATCATTTAGAATCACCAGGACTCATTCATTTTTTGAAGCGGACTTGAAGACCACACGCTCACTTACCTTATCTTAGTCGAGCTGATTTCATTGCTGATCCACTCTGTAACTATGTGAATGTTGTCCTGAGTAATGATTAAAGAATGAAAAAAACAAAACAGACAAAGCATTACAATCATTCAAAATAAACAACAGCAAACAATGTGACTACATTGTAGGTATTATCCTAAATGTAAAAAGTACACCCTGGTATACCTATTCTATTCATGATTGAAAAGGACAGAAAGCAAGAGATGCAAACAGTTTCACATGCCATTTTGTAATCTTCTTTTTATATTGCTATTTTTTTTTAAAGGGTAATGCACATTTACTATACAATGCCTATTTTGTTTAGCCCAACCCATTGTATGATCGTGTTCATAGTACATGTAGCTCTAGTATGAAACATGAAAGACATGAAAGAGAGAGAGAGAGAGAGAGAGAGAGAGAGAAAGAGAGGGAGGGAGAGAGGGAGATAGAGAGAGAGAGAGAGGGAGGGAGAGAGAGGAGGGAGAGAGAGAGAGGAGGGAGAGAGAGAGAGAGAGAGAGAGAGAGAGAGCTTGTCTACACATTATAAAAGCAAGTCCTTGACATATCACGTTTCATCAGCCTCCACACATATGTCCGTGTGGGAGTTGCACTTTGTGTGATTGAGCTTTCAATTAATATTTTTCAACAACAACAAACAGGATTTTCATCTTAACGAGTCACTGCGGGGGTAAAGAGACAGAGAGAGACGGGGGGGGGGGGGGGGGGGGGGTGGAGAAGGGGGCTCAGATAGTGGGAGGGAAAGTGAAAGGGAGAGGGAGAGAGGGAGAAAGAGAGAATCAGAGACATAACTCAGGGAAAGGCAAATAGAAGGCTAGAGACAATGCATAGGTAATACCAATATCTAAAGAGAAGTGAATAGATGAATAGAAAAATACTGAGCCATCAAAATCATAATAAATTTGGCCCAGTCTTGGTAAAGTAACAAGCACTGTATACAGAAAGATGTATATGGGACTACACAAATGGTGTCGGGCTACTAACCTTGATTTCCTAATCTTTCTATGCTCATTACCAGAGCTGCCAACATTTGATTTGGGTAATCAGGGAGATTTCTGAGAGAGCAGCATCGAACGACTTCATTGTTGGCGGGAACTAAGAATGGCCTTTTAGTGCCCCTGGTGGGGGGGGGGGGGGGGCAGGGGGCAGGCCCCCAAAAGCTCTTGGTTTTAAGCCTCTTTGAAACCCTTTTAGAACACATTTTTTCAATGATTTCTCAAAATGGAAGGCTTTGATATGGCACATTTTATTTGCATACAATTGATAACATATGAACTTCACATCATATTTCAGACTATGAACTCCTGTTACCTCTATTGTGAAATGGGGGATGTACTTGTGGAAGGCAAGGACTGGGGTGTGCTTGAGGGTTTTCCTTGAAGTGACTGGTAGGTTGCTTGCTTGAGTTTGCTAAGGAGGTCCTTGCTATACTCCCTTTGGTAGCATGGGACATCTGTGTTGGCAATTTTCTCTGTTAGGAGTGCTTGAAGTGTTTTCAAATTCATTGATCCCCTGAAATCAGTTTTGTTCTTCCTAACAATGCTAAAAACTCTTTCACATGAAGCATTGGAATGTGGTATCACAAGCAAAGATTTCATCACTTTGCTCAGAAGTGTGTATTTCTTTGAGCCATTGCCATCCTCCATCTTTGAAATTGCAGACCATTTCTTGTCTATTCTCAAGTTTTTGTTCAGGATCTCTGGTTCCCCTGAAAAGTCTTCAACCTGGTATTGTGCAAATTCCAGCTCAAGCTTGTCCAGGTCTCCATTCTCTGATTGTCTGTTCAAAATGCAAGGGTACTTTTCAACAAAGTATTGCACAGATGAAAATGACACATCTCTTCTGGAACTGACATCAATCACTTCAGCCTCCTTAAGGAACTTAACATCTAGTGGCCAGGTTTTCAAGGCATGAACTCAGGTCTATGGTATAGAGGGGTAGACTATTTCTCGATTTTACAAATCTAAGAACTGTTCATACTAACCTGAAAAAGCTCTGTATTCCTTTTGTATTGCCCCTTGCTTTCGCGGTTTGCTTGTGTTTGTCAGATGTGATGTGGCGAAATACATCATTTCTTCCCCCACTCTTGATGGAGATATCTGCGCCGCAAACTGTACAAAATGCGTAGTATTCGCCTTTCGTAGATTTCCCAACACAAGGCCATTCCAAGTGGTAGTCATCTTTATATTTCTGATAATATTTCGACTTCGACATTGTCCTGGATGATATTTTAATACTCAAACAGAGAGCAAAATACAGCCTTGTTTTGGACAAAGTTGACTTACGCCTTCGGAAGATGCAAGTTATATCGATGCGTTCCCAACGGCAAAGGAGATCAGAAAAAACTAGATGGAATTTGACTGCGCGCAGTCGAAAATGATGCCTCCGTCATAGAGCAATTTTACAAACCAAAACAGAAGAAATTTTTCGAAATCAAGTTCAATTGTAATCCATTGACAGGTTCTCAGAATATCGTGATTACAAGCAATTTCTCATATACATATATGACCCTTTGATCTTTGACCTCATGACCCTAAAATCTACTCAGTTCATTGGCTCTGCAAGATGTCCTGAGTTAAATAGTAATCCATCTGTCAGTTCTAATGAGAATGAGTTCACAAGCTATTTTTGCATATATAATGAGCCCATGACCTTTGACCTTTGACCTTATGAACCAAGAATCTACTCAGTTCATTGGCTCTGCAAGTAACATACATGACCTAAGTTTGGCAGCAATCCATCAAACGGTTCTTGAAATAACGCGATCACGAGCTGTTTTTGCATACATAATGAGCCCTGTGATCTTTGACCTTTAACCTCGTGACCCCAAAATCTAATCAGTTCATTGGCTCTGCAAGATACATACATAACCAAAGTTTGGCAGGAATCCATCAATCAGTTCTTCAGATAACGCGATCACGAGCTGTTTTTGCATACCTAATGAGCCCTGTGACCTTTGACCTTTGACCTCGTGACCCCAAAATCTAATCAGTTCATCGGCTCTGCAAGATACATACATGACCAAAGTTTGGCAGGAATCGATCAATCGGTTCTTCAGATAACGCGATCACAAGAACGGGACGTACGTACGTACAGACGTACGTACGTACGTACGTACGGACGGACGGACAACCCGAAAACATAATGCCTCCGGCTACTTCGTAACGGAGGCATAAAAAGTCGGCTTCAAAATCCACTCTGCAGTAACACTGCCATGTTGGTATCAAATGATAATCCACTTAAAAATCACATCGCAAAAGTCCCCAAATCAATCCAAAAACTGATGTTGAAATGTGCAGTTTTTTGGGCCGATCGCAGCAGACAAAGTCTGCTTGTTGTATCAGTGCAACTTCTGGCTGCTCTGACGCGACCGATCGGAAACCGGCACCAACGTACCGGGACGCTACGGGGGCCGGCGAGGAAGCCGCCCGGCAGAGCAAGCAGGCGAATTGCTATCACACAAACACCACTCACATTATCACATGTTCCCAATGGTTTGTTAGATTAGCCCGCCAGTCGTTCGGCGTAACTCTCATTTATTACGCTGTTAAATAAAGTACGATATCACGGTAAATTTATATTCGACGACTGGATAACAGGAAAATTCATATTACAGAATTGCCGTGTGTTTGTATACGTACGTACGAACTCAACATGCTAGTCTTGTGAAACAGTCGTTTATGAAAATAATACAACTTAAAATCTGGAAATCCGGGAGATTTTTGCATGGGGTCGGGAAAACGGGATATTGGGTCAAAATCCGGGAGTCTCCCGCAGGATCCGGGAGACTTGGCAGCTCTGCATTACTCAGCCAGTATACATTTTCTACCAAAATTGTTTGGCAAATGATATTTATTTGTAATCTAGAATATTCAGTGTAATTTTCGTTTGATTCTGTGAGAATTAATTTTCTTTTTTTACCAGAACTCACCTTTATCTTTAAACTTGATAGTAGACCATAAAGTGCCCTACATTTCAGAATAACACTAAATGTACATACATTCAACCCGACCTACATCATTTGCAAATGAACTACCGTAACCATAATCAAGTATCATGAGAGAAAAAGAGCAATAAAAGAGAGCAATACAAAAGAGCTAGAGTAGGACATGAAAGGATTAATTATACTCACTGAATATTTGAACAAAAGGTCTGATTCATAGATGAACTTGTATGGATCAGAACCGCTCCTTGTGATAACCACCAGACCGTGCTTCCCAACAATAGTCTCCAACTGTTACAAATCAAGAGTCAATACAATGAGTTCAAAACAAATATGCCACGATTTAATGCTTGAGTGATTGCTAATTAAAATGATTTGGCATTAGTGCTCCTACACACTTTTAATTCTAACAAAATAAGTTCATAAATGGTCCAATGAACTTTTGTCAGATTTACAATGTACCGGCCTAGACTAGGCTTGTAAGCAAATATATGAGTTCATTGATAACACCATCTTCGGCGGCTTGAATCAATTGTAGGGAAAATAATATAAAGAACCGGCCTGATTCTGGACTACAGTGAATACTGCTAGAGAAAACAGAACAAGCTGAATGCAGTAATATCTCAATTCTGGTATAGCTCCCTCTTTTGGTGTTTTTCACTACAGCTTCATTACGTCAACTGCCAGCATTTCAGAGAACTCGTGGGTGATTCACCAAAGTGTGTGGTAAACCAGAAATTTTAGGATATGCATTGAAAGGCTACATACAGTAGCTCAAATATGTTATCATCTCATTTTTGTATGGGGGGGGGGGGGGGGGGGTAAAGAAAAACACTGAACTTAACAATATGCAATTGCAATTGCTATCCTAAAGTATTTATGCATTCATTGGCATTTTCCATTAAACATACAGGTAATGAAGTTTATTTTTTCAAAATGGCCACTGTAGTTTATTTTCTTACTTTAATAACTACATAGATTTGAACTGACAGAAGTAAAGTCAATATTATAATCTTTGTCATTTCAGTGATAACATTGATTTATTGATGAAAGCAGAGAGTTATTGAAGACTCACATCCTCTTTATCCCATAGATCTGGTACAGCAAAGGATTCCAAGAGGTCTGCCCCACATAGCAACTTGACCTCAACGCCTAATTGGTTGGCATTGGTATTGAGGTTTGGAGCTCCGTACGCATCATCTACCTCTGTATCTGAAATTAGAATAGAAAAACTGGAGTGAGATACTTTGGATAAGAACAATCATCAAAACAAACAATATAAAAACAAAGTAAAAGTTTAATATCTACACAAAAAAACATAAAAAAGCAAACAAACAGACAGACACATGGAGGTTTGAAAACCGTACGCAGCATCTACATCTGTATCAGAAAGAGGAGAAAGATTCTTAAGATCTAACATCTGAATAGGCACAGACACAAACAGACAATTAAACACACACACACACAAACAAACAAAAACAAATACAGCATTAACAAAAACACACATACATAGACACAGTTGGGTTCAGAATCAGAGCAGCTTACATAGGCACCATTTATGTCTGCATCTTGAAGGAGAGAAAGAGTGGGATAGGAAGAAACATATAATGCAATTTTTCGGACAAACAAACAAACAAACAAATGAACAAAGATTTACATAAAAAAATAGGTACACACGCATACACATCATCTACCTCTTATCTGAATTGAAAAGAAGACTGGGATGAGTTGTTTGAGTGGTGGCAGGTACATTATAAATACAAGCCTCAAGCAACAAACAAACACAAACACAATTAAACAAACACACAAACACATACAAAGAGAGTAGTTTTTATAGCAGAGGAGGCATCATCCATCTCTGTACCTAAAATGAGAGAATAAAATGAGATTGGGATGGAAAAATGCAAATAAACAAACAAACAAACAAACAAACATACAGATACATATAGGCTTTAGGGTACCAGTTGCTTCATTGACCTCTGTCTTTTGAAATACGAGGACCAAAGAGTTACAATGCTGAAAACAACAAACAGGGCAACACAGGAACATTTTGACAATTAAACACATCAACAACAAACAGAAAAAACATTGATAATTAAACACATAAACAAACAAACAAAAATCTACAATCAAAAACATAAACAAACAAAAAAGACAATTAAACACATTCATGAAATTCCTACACAAACAAACAGACACAGTAAGTTTTGGAGGAAAAACACACACTTGAGACATTCATTGCATGGGGCAAAATATGAACGTTTGACCTGTTGAAAATTGCTTGTCATACAATGTAAATGAGCTTGAAACTTGAAAAATAAGAAATTAATCAGCCATGATAACACATTTTAATTTCTTTGCTAGGCAAATTAAAAAAACTTCTGTCTTCTCTAAAAAATGGCGACTAGAATAAAGCAACAAACAATAAAAGCTGTACTCTATATCATGTCATGCTAATAACCCACATCTCAAATGAGTTTTGACTTATATTTGTTAGAAGTATATGTTTATATACCTCACTTCAACTGCAACCACATGCAGAAGAGATCAATATAATATCATGATCGCTGCAAGATTAGCCTCTAATCAAAAGATATTAGCAACATAAACATTACTTTCCTAACCCATGAATAGAGACATTGGATGAGTGTAAGTTTAATGGAGTTGGAAATGTCTGTCCAATTAGTTTCTTTATCATTTCACCATGTTGTACAGACAACATTTGGGAAAGAACACTTGAGAAAGAAACAAGAGTACCAGCAAAACCTCTTGTTCAGTATTCTATTACTTCTTTAAACATCTACCAGTAGCTGTAGAAACTTATATCACCCATGTATTATCTCTACTAAAAACCTCCTTGAACTCATATTAATGGTTATTGGACGTAAATCGTTAAAGCATCTTGTTTCATACCAGGATTATGATCTGTGAAAGGAAGGTCACGATGCTTTAAAACCAGAAATGTTTGGGACATCACGCAAATCTTCCATGAATTAAACAAAAATTGGTGTTATTTCAAATGTGATAAAGATTTTTCATGGCAGGGACCTTTTTGCAAAGTTGCAAACACTTCATGCATATGAAGGCTTTTGGTGCACATTATTTTTGTGTATGCGCTTGCTATTCAAAAGAGAAGAAAATAGTCATTTGTTTTCTAAATAATATTTATCAAAAATCAAATAATAAAATAAACATTATGCAAACCACAGCACTATACATATCGTCGGTGGGGTGACAAAACCTCGTATCTCAAAAATCATGAATTTTCAGGAGAGCGAAAAAACATTTCCTGTCTCAACAGATTTAGTGCTGTGACACCGTCCTTTGTGTGGAATTTGTGAAAAAAAACGAGACAGGAGGCGTTCCATGGATTTATCAGGTGGTGTCATAGGCCATTAGGTACACAATTATGCAAAAAAAAATCAAAATCTCAAAAATTGAGATACAAGGTTTTGTCACCCCACCGACGATATGTAGCATGCACATCAAGGTTGAAATATTCCTGTGAATGTAAACACACTCAAAATAAAGATATCTAAAAATAAATAAAATAATAATCAAAAGTTAAAAGGACACATTGAAAAGGAGTTGAAACATTGCAGGTTGCACATATGAAAGAATTGTAAAAAACTTATTATAGAAAGTTTGTCAATTGAAGGCTTCAAACTTTCATGCTATAGTTGAGAGCATAAAACAGACTACATCTATGGGGGAGATTGGGAGAATAAGACAACCATACCCTCATAACTTGGTAACATTCCGGCCCCAAAGCAGGCCAAAGAAGATACATTTCTGAGGGCCACCAAAAAGTCTTGGGGAAAAAGAGGTGTTAGAAAGAAACATGGTGGATTAGATGAGAAAGTGGACCGGAAAGGCAGAGGAAACATTTTATCATCCATAATGGAAAAACAATGAAAATAAATACACACATGTAGACACACATGTAGTCACACACGATCATTAAACGAGTTATACAGGTAATACATTTAAGGGGATGGCTTTGGTGAAAATATTGTCTTCTTATGCATCTTAATGGTCTTAAGTCAAAATGGTGATCAACTTCTTATCCTTGTAAGCAAATAGGCCTTTAAGAAAATACAAAAATGAAGTGACAACCAGGCAAATAGTTTTCCCTTTAAATACAGTGAACATTTTTGTTTGGAAATTCATACATGTAAATACATTCTTAATTTGTTATAATCATCAATGTTGTTAAATTTGTGAATGGTCATCTTGAAAACAAAATTAACATTGAGGTATTCTGCATCATAAGAGAAAGCTCTAAGCAAGATACAATGTATTGTAATACTCAGTGCTTAAATCTCACAGATTGAAAGTAATTTTTATGATTTTCATTTACTGTAAGTATTTCAAAGCAAACTTGTATATGCCTGTGTCCTTTGATCATACATGTCACGAACGAAGTTGAGAATTTGATTTTTAACTAACTTCTTCCAAATAACTTTTAATAATGAAATGGGATGGAAATGAGTGAATGAATGACTAGATTCGTTGCATCATCTATTTTCTCTCCCTCAGACGTACATGCAATTAGCTAAAAACTTGACCTTTCTCATCAATTCCATCCCAAGTGACCGTCATGCATCACCTGAGCCAGATTTCCTCGTAAGAAATTAAAAGAGAGAACGGCGACGAGCTTACAGCGATGGGTCAAGCCTTGCAATAAGATTAGCTTACAGTATGTACACCTATACCGTCGTTTTTATCTGTGTATATATGTCATTGTGAGTTTGGAAGAAGGGCATGAATGCATGCTTGGCAAGCAGATTTCTAGAAATATGCATTTTTAAAGTTTTGGCCTTTCTTTTACTACATCTCTAACATTGCCTTTTTTAAAATACACATTACGTAACCGTGATTAACATGAATTATTTGTTCCCTCTTTAAAAAAAATGCTACTATAAAATTAACTCTCCATATTTCACTCTTCTCTTTAGTTCAGTCGTTTAATTTATTGTATTCAAACAAATTGATATGAGGTACTCACTTTCTTTCTCTTTTATGACTCTGTTAATAAAATATATGTTTATTTGCACCATTTACCTTTTTAAATCATTGCAAAATGTTAAAAATATGTGAAATATGAAACAATAAACTGAAACTGAAAGCCTGAAGCTTGTCATCTCAATCTCTACATGTACGTACATTATAGTTCATAGTATATGAAACTAGAAAGGATGTGTTTGAAAATATAATATTCCTTGTTCCATTTGAGCAACCGGATATCCAACGATTTACCATTGTTTTAATTGCTCCTGGCATATTAGCAAGAGCATTCTTGGAGCAGGTTTCAAGCACTATGTACACACTGCGGAACAATCGTTTCAGGTTTTCAGGTTTCCATTACGTTATAAAATCCCTATCACTTGAGTGCGGTCCCTAGCGATAGTGGTGTAATTGCGTTATTAACACCTAGGTGACCGCTAAGATTTTCGGCAATCTAAATGAAAGGCTCGCGACGCTTCCCTTCGCTTTCAAGGATTATCACCAATTAAAGTGATGGCTTAAGGAGGACCAATGATGGGTGTTTTAATTATAGATGTATGGATGGGTAGATCCATAAGAAGATGATGTGAGCTAAAAATAAAAATAAGAACTGATATATAAGGGTATACATGTATCATCAAAATAGTAAAATGGATAAGCAATCTTTAAGATCCATACTCAAAGACTCTGCTTTTGAAAAAAATAATCCTCATGAAATTCAGAATATTTGTTTTCTGTTTATCATTAACATTTTAACAAAAAGAGCAAATGATTCTGGAGAAAAAAATCTCCCCCCCTCCCCCGCCCCCTTTATTTTGGAAATTAAATATTTCATTATATACTCATTGTACCTTTCAAAATATTGGTATATTCAAAGTTGACATGAAATTGCCTCAAAAATCACCTCTATTACTTGCAGCAGACATCTTTAATATAACATTGAGCGAGAACAATTTGTCAATAACGACTTGTCTATAAAAATAATATAATATCAGGCATTGTGCTTTCATATCTGGGGTAGATAACATTGGGCAGTACAAAAAACAGCAGCCAGAATCATGATTTAGTTCTAAGTCTCTACAGCTCTGTAACTACTGAACAGTGAATTGGACTCTCTCTCTCTCTCTTTCGTTCTCTGTCTCAAAAACACACACACACACACACACTCTCTCTCTCTCTCTCTTCTCTCTCTCACACACACAAACACACACACTCTCTCTCTCTCTCTCTCTCTCTCTATCTCATAAACAAACACACACCCTCTCTCTCTCTCTCTCTTACTCTCTCACCATCTCTCCTCTTCGCTCTCTCTCTTTTCTCTCTCTCATACACTCAATCTCTTTTTCTCTCTCTCTCCCTCCCTCTCTCTCCGCCTCTCTCTCTCTCTCTCTCTCTCTCTCCCTCTCTTTCCCTCTCTCTCTGTCTAGAGTAAGATGATAATCAGAGCTCCAATCAAGATTCTTATGGAGGACCACAAGAGGGTAAAGATATCATATTTTTTGTCATATGAACGACAACAAATGATGTGACTTGTGAGTCATTTCTTCAAGAACATTCCACAAGACCTGTATGGTTCATCATCCAGTGTTGCCATTCAAAATCAAGTTAAACTACTTTTTCTTGTAGGAAGTTAGGAACCCCTTTAATGTTCACGTCAAACATGTACCTGAACAAATAAACCTTTCTGTTAAAGGTTTGCCTAATAGATTGCCATTTTCCATGCTAGAAAGATTTTTTTCCCTTTTATTTTGACATCTGGTAAGAACTCTTCAGTAGAAATCTGCCTAGCACAAGAAGACATTTATAGATATTAATAAAGGAGTCACAAATTTGTTGCTGGTTTCACAAACTGACATACGGCATAGGCATAAGCATGGGAGATACGCTAGTCCGCGAATCCAGCAGCAAATTTATGATCGCTGGCCAGAAATGATTGGAATTCCCTCTCTAAGCCAAGTTGACGATGGGTGTTACCAGCAATCCTTCACAAGATGACCATCGGCGATCGGCTATCTAGATGAAATGACCATTTTAATTATGGATGTGATGATAGGAGTAGGCTTACCATGACTATGTAGAATGGCAAGTTGGCAACCAATAAATTGCATAATCGTGGTGAGATGACAACTTTGAGCTCGAGGTGTTTGTTTTGGTACGTTCTCTGAATATTCAATCAAGATGGTATTAACATGGGTTGAATATATGATTAGAGTACAAAGTTACTATTAAACCACCAGTATAATTCTCTCAAAGTTTGGATCGACAGCTTACAACAACAGGGAAATGTTTTCACAATGAACTGAAGTCAAGCCTGGCTATTGCCAGAACAGAACAGAGATCGCTTGAGGCTAAATTTTAGCAAAGATAAAGGATAAGGGTTTGGGTTTTCGTTAATTTTGGTAATAGTGTTATGTCTAGGGTTAAGTTACAAACTCAAATTAATGGATGTTTCTTTCCTGGGGACCTCGTGACGAGGTATTCCATTAACCTGTTATTAATGAATGAACTACTATACTTGGAATCCAGTCTGCATACATTACTTGTTGCTATGTTGGGCAATCCTATGGCAAGCTTTCAGGTTGTCAAGAACAACCTTTGTTTAAGAATTATTCATACAATTTGAATATGTTAGTAAACCTATCTATCAGGGCTGGAAGGTATAACAAATGTTACCAGATCAGGAACCATGTCTAGTGTAGCCCTGAAAACAGGCTTTCACCAACACAAAATAATCTGCATTTAAATACCAACTTAATGTTATAAACATGAGAAAATAAACTTTCTTCTAAGATGTGATCTCTTTAAAATAAAGAAAAAATGCTAATGCAAATTCTTTCAGGAATCTAGGGTAAGACTGGTTCAATAATCTGTACTGCCTATATAATTACATTCAAACTATGTAGAAGGAAGCAAATATATCAAGGGTGACATACAAGCTATTAAGATCGCCCAAGATTGTATTTCTTGAAAGTCTGTACAATCATGTAGAAAATACAATTTTACTATCGATCCATAATAAATGACATTACAAATCTTATTAACAAGGAGAATCCAACTGCCAGATACATAGAAGAAACAACACAACTCTAGGCCCGTCTTCACTATCTCGAGATTGCCAAATATCCAGCTATTTAAACTACCCCGATCGCAAACTATCCAGCTAATTTGCGTCTTCTTTAGACCGAAGTAGCAAATTAGCTGGATAGTTGGTCGGGATAATATCCCAAGATATCTCGGTCTAGTTTGTAAAATATCCCTCTATTTCCCAACTAGCGGGATAGTTTGCGACCGTCTTCATTAGACCGAAGTACGGAGTCAAATATCCCGATCCCATCATGCACCACAATTTCTGGCGCACATGTGATCTATACCACTAAGCGCGCTAGTACAACTAGTAAACACGGAAAACCAGAAATCGTTTTTCATGATGGGATCGGGATATTTGACTCTGTACTTCGGTGTAATGATGACGGTCGCAAACTATTCCGCTAGTTAGGAAATAGTGGGATATTTTGCAAACTAGACCGAGATATCTTGGGATATTATCCTGACCAACTATCCAGCTAATTTGCTACTTCGGTCTAATGAAGACGTAAATTAGCTGGATAGTTTGCGATCGGGATAGTTCAAATAGCTGGATATTTGGCAATGTCGAGATAGTGAAGACACGCCTAATGTACAACCTAATCACATGACAAGGTCACATGATCACCACCATGGTCACTTTGTTACTCTGGTTCGCTCGTTACCGGTGGCGCAGGAGGAAGGCGCAGCAGGAAGAAGCGTGACCCACGATTGATTGGA